CCTCTTCACTTTCTGCCATGAGAGTGGTCTCATCAGCATATCTGAGGTTGTTGATATTTCTCTCAGCAATCTTAATTCTGACTGGTGATTCATCCAGCCCCGCCTTTCTCATGATGTGCTCTGCATATAAGTTAAATAGGCAGGGTGACAGTATACAGCCCTGCCGAACTCCTTTCTCAATTTTGAACCAATCAGTGGTTCCGTGTCCAGTTCTCACTGTTGCTTCTTGACCTGCATATATGTTTCTCAAGAGACAAATAAGATGGTCTGGTACTCCCATCTCTTTAAGAACTTGCCACAATTTGTTGTGATCCACACAATCAAAGACTTTAGCATAATCAATGAAGCAGAAGTAGATGTTTTTCTGGAACTCCCTAGCTTTCTCCATGATCCAGCATATGTTGGCAATTTGATCTCTAGTTCTTCTCCCTCTTCGAAATCCTGCTGTACTTCTGGTAGCTCTCGGTCCACATCCTGCTGGAGCCTAGCTTGTAGGATTTTGAGCATAACTTTGTTAGCATGTGAAATGAGTGCAACGGTGCGGTAGTTTGAACATTATTTGGCATTGCCCTTCTTTGGGATCCAAATGTAAACTGATCTTTTCCAATCCTGTGGCCACTGTTGAGTTTTCCAAATTTGCTGGCATATTGAGTGTAGCACTTTTACTGCATCATCTCTTAAGATTTTGAATAGCTGAGCTGGAATACTGTCACCTCCACTAGCTTTGTTGTTGCTCAGACTTCCTAAGGCCCATTTGACTTCACATTCCAGGATGTCCGGCTCGAGGTCAGTGACCACCCCATCGTGGTTATCAGGGACGTTAAGCTCTTTCTTCTATAGTTCTTCTGTGTAATCTTGCCACCTCTTCTTAATCTCTTCTGCCTCTGTTAGGTCCCTGCCATTTTGGTCCTTTATCATGCCCATCTTTGCATGAAATGTTCCCTTCGTATCTCCAATTTTCTTGAAGAGATCTCTGGCCCTCCCTATTCTATTGTTTTCTTCTATTTCTTTACACTGTTCATTTAAGAAGGCATTCTTATCTCTTCTAGCTATTCTCCGGAATTCTGCATTCAGTTGGGTGTATCTTTCTCTTTCTCCCTTGCCTTTCGCTTCCCTTCTTTCCTCAGCTATTAGTAAAGCTTCCTCAGACAGCCATTTTGCTTTCTTGCATTTCTTTTTCTTTGGGATGGCTTTAGTTGCTGCCTCTTGTACGATGTTGCGAACCTCCGTCCATAGTTCTCCAGGCACTCTGTCTATCAGATCTAATTCGTTGAATCTATTTGTCCCCTCTACTGTATATTCATCAGGGATACGATTTAAGTCATACCTGAGTGGCCTAGTGTTTTTCCCTACTTTCTTCAATTTAAGCCTAAAATTTAAGCCTAAATTTTGCAACACTAGGCATGTCTGGAGGGCCCCAAATAGGGAAGACTGATTCAGGGCTCCTTACTGGATACCAATCCCTCCTTTCCTTTGTCCTAATCCAGCATGCATGGAGATTTGTCTGCTTCTGAACCCTGCATAGGTGTACTTTGAGCTAGCAAGTTGAGTCACTTTAGCTTAGGCTTAGCAGCTTAGCAAAGGCCAGGGCCTGCAGCTGGATGGGTGACCACAGGTTGGGCTCCGTGGTCTTGCAGGCCTCTTCCAACTCCACTTCTCTTCTAAGTGGGGAACCACTTCATGGGGTTGTGAACTGCCACAACACACAACAGTCGCTTCTGCCAGCAACACAGTGTGTTGCTTCTGCAACAATGCACAACAGTTCTCCCCATCCACCCCCCAGCCTGATTCCAAAATGATGCACCTGTTGGAACCATTACAGACAAAGATGATCTCTGGGTAAAATCTGGAAATACATACAGCGCTTCTGGATTCTTTGGGTGACACAGTTCAGCTGATTCACAGCCGTCCTCCGCTCCAAGGATACCTGTATTTGTCATGCTGTTCTATTACACAACCATAAGGTGGCAGTGTAAGATAGCCAGATTACACAAGGACCTGCGCTATACACAACTTTTCTCTGCACAAGGCATGTCTTGGAAGTGTGCAGGTCCTTTGCACAACATCCCCGACTTCTCGGGGCTTCTCCCATGTTTTCCGGCCATTTTGGCAGCCTTTGTTTTAGAGAGAGGATAATGCAGTATTTTTCTGGATGGCGCCATGCCTTCCTAGGCAAGTCTTGTGAAATATCTGACTTCCACTTTGTGTGGGTCATATAAAAAGGCAGAAAGCAAACTCCTGGAAGAAAACCTCTCGTGTAAAAGGATGTTCTTTCTCCAGCAAGGAAATGGACAGCAAAGCGTCACTGGGTTAGAGTGGACAGACTGTAAACGCTGCTGAGTTCTGAGCTCAGCATGAATTTCTGGGCCCAGAATTCTTTAATTCCGTGGGCCAAAGGATGCATTCCACATCCAGCTGCTACGCTCTTGCACAGTCATTTTTACTTTAAAGTAGGCACAGGGGCCCACGCGGATCAAGATTCTAGCACGGGAGGTGGGTGGGAATTAATGTGTCCATTCCCACACACTACAGGCACAATCAGAATCATTGCTGCTCTATTTAATTATGCATTTATTATATTTATATCTTCCCTTTGTCCTGCAATGGACTGAAGATGGTTCACATAATCCTACTCTCCATGTTACCCTTACAACAGCCTTGTGAGGTAGATTGGGCCAAGAGTTAATGATTGGCTGAAAGTAAGCTCACCCGGTGAGCTCGAGCTGCGGAGCTAGAATCTGCCTCTCCTGAGTTTAACCACTGCACCCTGCCAGTTTCAGGTTTAACCCTTTGCTAGCTGTGGGCAGCCAGCCCAATCCAAATCGGGCATTTGCACGCTAACGTGAGAGTTAAAAACGAAGGGTGGAATGAGGGACCGTCTCTACCTTTGACAAATCTCTACCAAGGTTGCTGTTCCAGCCTTGGTCCTTCTCAAGGCAATTGGAAGTAGAAGGTGGAACTTCAGCAGCGTACGTCCACCCAAGGTCCTAACAGCATCTCCCACTCCAGAAGGGAGGAATTTGCTGTAAACTCTGCCTCCAGGGCCCATGGAATACCCCCCCAGGGCACGCATCGGTCCCCAGTGTTTCACAAATTACCCTCACTGCGCAGTTTTCCACCTTTCCTGAGTGTGCTGCTTCCTCCGGCAATGTGACCTGCTCTTTGGCAATGGACATTTCATTGGTGTTCCCTGAAGACAGTTAATAATTTGGCTTTTTCATTCTCCTTTTGCTATCTGCTATCCAGATGACCTCAAAAAAATTTACGGAAATTGTAAGAGCAATTTACAGTTTCACAAACAACAAATATTTCCAGGTATTAAAAGAATAATCCGTTAATTTCCCGTTAATCCATGTTTGGGTTTCAAAATCACAGATGGAGTGTGTGACTTCTAATTCAATCCATCAGTCAAGAGAAGTGCTTGATTTCTGTCTTTGTTTCTGTGAAAGTGGTTCTTTCAGAGAAGAAATATTTACAAACCTCCGGTTGGTTGATACAGAGTACAGTTTATGATCTAATTAATCCAAGATTTAGGCCAGTGATATCCCTTCCGCTTCCCTTTATTTGTGGGAATTAGCGAGGGCCAAGATGTGGAAGTCACTGGCTCTGGCAACCAGATGTTTGGCCGCACTTGAGGGGTGCCTGTTAAGAATACGTTTTGTGTACTTTGCCCCGGTCTTGTCATCAATCCATCTTCATTGTGCAGTCACAGAACCACTGAAACAGAGCCAAGATAACCAAATTCTCTGCTTATTTCCATCCAAAGACTGGCTTGCATTGTGATGCTATCAGGCCGGCCCTTCCCCGGGGCTTTTCAAACTTTAATCACTCTACCCACAAATGAGTCTCATCCACTATTCCAAAAGCTATCAAAGACAATGGTTATTATCTTCCCCTCTTACAGGAATGACCATTTCAAGGGGATTGTGCCTGCTGGGTGAAGATGTATGTTATTTTCTCTGTCCCAGTCTACTGCCCATGGATTTTACTGGGAGAGGGAAGGACTGGTGCCGGGCTTGGCATGTAGGTGGCTCCCACCTAGCAGGGCCCAACTCAAAGAGACCCTGGAATTGTGCCTTCTGCTCACCACTGCCACCTGCTTGTTAGCCTGCTTCTTAGACTGTGCTGGAGGAGTTGTAAGAGCAAGCCAGAGTGGCATCGTGGTTAAGAGAGCTGGACTGGGACTCTGGGGGTGGTTTGCAGCAAACGGATTCAGAAAATGCAGAACTATAAAACACATTCAAAACTTAACCCTCTTGGGATGCATCCCAAGGAAAGACCAGCAACAGAGTAAGGATTTTTTTAAGCCATTAGGCAAAATCCTCGGGCCAGTAGATGCCATCTGGTCAGTCAGAGCAAAGGACAGACTCCTCATCGCAACCTTGGATACGCTTTCAACTTCTGCATGAGCTTTGAGCCACGTGCTCAGTCAGATACCCATAATCTGAGTCCAGAGCCAGTGCAGGGCAGTGGTTAAGAACATGGGACTGGGACTCAGGTGATCCGGGTTCTAGTCCCCGCTGGGTGACTTATGGCCAGTCACAGACTCTTAGCCTGACCTCCCTCACAGGGTTGTTGTTGTGGGGATAAGATGGAGGGCAGGAGGAGAATCATGTAAGCCGCTTTGAGTTTGCTGCAAGAAAGCGGGATATAAATCTAATATCCCAAACAAGTTGCCCTGGCTTTGTTCCTTGGTGGCTCTTTGTTTACCAAGCAAGAGAGCAGCAGCCGTGATGAAGAGGAGGAAAAGATGGCGACAACAGCACTGAGAGGATCAAAGCTGTCAGGGAGGGAACCATGAAGGGTCGTCAAAAACCTCAATGTGACTCCAGTGGGCTGGAGAAGTTTGTTATGAAGCGGGAAGATTCTTTTCGCATCTTTCTTTGTAGTATTTATATGCTGCTAAGTATAATGAAACCCCTGTGTGTTTTCTTGCAGTCTAATAACTTTCTCCACATCCTGGGTGATGGCAACCAAGTCACCTTATTAGCTTGACCTACCTCACAAGGTTGTTGTGAGGATACAGTGCAGATGCAGGTACCAAGAACTGGATACTCCACTCTGAGTTCCTTGCAGAAAAGCCAAGAAACAAACCTAGAACAGCAACACATGCCGTTGAGGTCAGTGCCTTCAAGTTGTCTCCAACTTTTGGCGACCCTCTGAAATCTTTCTCCCGGAGGTTTTTCTCTGAAATCAAATGCCTTCCTCTTCTTCTGTTCTGCTTATATTAGTTTTTCTTTTATTCTACATTTTCTTCTATGCTTTTATTCTATGTATATATCTTCTATATACAAATGTTAAGAAAATATTTTTTTTAAAAAGAAATCAAACGCCTTCCTCTTCTTGACCCTGCACCCCTCTTACAAACAGGCACGTTTTGAGAGCGGCGGGCCTCTCCGGCAACATACAGAGACTTTAGTGGCATCAGCATCAGCAACTTCGGGGATTTTTTTCCTCCTGCAGACGTGCTCCCCGGCCTTCCCTCGGGACCCCAGTCCCAGCAAAGGCCGATTCCCGACATTTTCGGCCAGCTGGGAGCCGCTGCTTCTCGAACGGGCTCAGACGTGCTCGCCGAGGCCGCGTCTGCGCGCAATTCCCGGGAAGCGCGGGCTGCCCAAGGGCGCGCCGGTCACGCACCGGGGCCGTCGGTGGAAGGGCGGGCGCCACGGCGGGCGCCACGGGGCCGGCCGGACGCGCCCCCCTTCCTCCGCATCGTCCCGGAGAAGCGCCCACTCGGCGCGCCCCCGCGCCCCGCCCCGCCCGCCCCGCCCGCGCGGCACGTCTCTTAAGCCGAGCGAGCCGGTGCCGGCGACCATCCGAGCCCGGCCGGGAGCCGAGAAGCGCCGCGGGCACAGAGCCTCCTGCAGCAGGAGCAGCCGCGTCTCCCGGAGCGACCGCGCCGCCGCGCAGAGGAGCGCGCAAAAGGTAACGCGTCGGGGCGCCCGGCAAGCCCCACTCCTGCGTGCGCGGCCAGGCTTGCCCGCCTGTGGCTCGCCAGCGGCACTCCCGGCAGCGGCTCTCGCCCTGGGGCCGCGCTGGATTTTGTGCAGCGCCAAGCACGGCACTGTGCGCAAGGGGGCACGCTTCGCTTCCGCGTTGTTCGCCCCTTCTGGCGCTGGCAACGGGGGCAGGGGCAATCCCCCCCATCAGGCCGCGTCAGGTGGCACCCCTGTCCGCTCTTAAGGCATTCTCCAATGAAACTTATTTCCAGGGTGGCACTGGTTTTCCTGAACTCTGTGGCTGGGTTCAGCCATAACCCCCACTCAAGGGTTGTGCATGGGCTGTAACGACTTGGATTGTCTGAACCAGCTGCTCTAACAACCACCATCTTTTAACCGCAATCCTCACCGTGGTTTGTTATATTGGCTGGGTTGTGCCCACACAATAATCCACCTTTCAGCCAGAACCGACAGTTCGGTGACAACCCCTTCTCAGGCCATATGCAACCCTGGGTTGTCAGAACCCTGTGGAAAGGCTTATCCACACATGCTAGGAGGGAAGAAAAGGGGGCACAAGGTGTGCCCCCCGCCCAGGCCTGCATCAGGGCCCCTTCTTCTGTGCGGATGGCTGAGTTGATCATAATCCTCCTTGCAGGTCCTTTTACAGCTAAGCCCCATGGGGATAAGTGTGCTAAGAAAGTGGCCCAGGATTTCAGCCTTAATCGCATTCCTTGGTGATCAGCGCTTGGGCTAGAGCATGGACGCAACAAAGCGAGGAGGAGGAGGCCGTTAGCGCTGTCGTTGCCTCCTCCATCATTTCTGCCCTTTGCCTCCTGATTCCTGTTCAGAGAAAGCCGGCGTGGGAGCGGAGCTGAGCAGGGAAGGAAGGAATGGCAGCTGCAGGAAGCCCAACGCTGAATGGCCTTTTCTGCCCGGAGCGCTCGCAAGGGCATGTGCCGGGACCAGAGAGGCAAGTTGGACTTCCTGTCTGGCCACGGAACCCACGGGGTGCCTTTGGGCTGGCCACATACTCCCTCAGCTTAACCCACCCCACAGGGTTGTCGCAGGAGGCAAAAAGGCCGCTCTCCTTGGTACCACATGAGATCTGGCTGGCCCTCCAGGTTGTATTCTCAACCTAAAGATGGAGGTGCGGAGGGAACAAGCTACTTGGGGGACAGGCGGGTAGAGGGCGAAAGGAGGGTGTCCATGTGAATGCTTGTGAAAAGAGCAGAGTTGGAGGAAACAAGGCTCTGGGCATGGAGGGGAAACCTATAAAGGTTTTGATGGTATGGACTAGGAACTTGTGCCAGACGTGGAGCCAGAGCAGGGATTTGAAAGGTGGTATCGCATGGCCTACTGACGAGGAACAGAATTGGTTTGCCCAGTGGGGTAGACATTTTCTTGCATATTATGATTTCAGGTTGCCCATGTGTGTGTGGATGGGGGAACTGCTTCCCCTCCTGAAGCTCCCTGCACGTAGAAAAATAGCATACATGGAAGAAGAGGCTCATACAGAACCTGATGTGCTAGCTTTCTATGTGCAAGGAGACTGCTCAATAAAGGGATTCTCTAGCCTACTCGCTCTCTTCGCCCATGGAAGCCCTCTCTCAGTCATAGACCACGCATGCTGGATCAATCCATCTTCAAAAGGTTATGGAGAAGAGGAGCATTTTTTCTGAAAGCCACCATCCTCCTCAAGAATCTCAGCCCAGAGCCCATATTTTATTTATGTCCCACTTTTATTTTGCTGGGGAACACAAGGTGGCCGCATGTGGTTCCCACTGGGTTCCCCTCCACTACCTGACCAGGCCTGAACTTGCTTAGCTTCAGTGCTGGGGCTGCCTCATGCATCTTCAGACCATGGTCCAGGATTAAACCCAATCCTCTGGGGATCCCAGTGCAGTCCTCCCCAGAGATCTGCAAAAGTCATGCCTCTTCTTTACCAAAATGGATTGTTCCCTGGCTTTTTGGCAGTCCCCCCACCCTGATATCTCCATTTTGAAGGACTGAAAGGCCTAGTTACTGGCATGAAGACCTTTAGGCTAAAACATGTTGGCATTTTTTGCATTTTGCCTTCCTCCCGCTCACCACAGGAATGCAGCGGCACCAGGGGCTTATCTGAAATGAACATAAGAGAACTGTTCCAAAATCTTGAGTAGCTGTAACAAGCCTTTTGGTTCTGCTACAGTAGTTTTAGACCTTTGCTTGTGGAAAAAGGGGGTGCCTCAGAAATGGCAGGGAAATCACCCCCCCTTTAATATGGATAGAAAGCGAACAACCCCAGAGGCATTCTGTTCTCGGCACGTTCGTTCATTCTCCCAGGGCTGTTATCAGAAAAGATCCCACTTTGGATACGCTGCATCTTTCACGGTGCGTTATTTCTCCCACACCTGCCAAGCTGTGAACAGGTGGGATTCGAAATCCCTTTCTCACATCCTGACCATCCACACCAGCCGGGTAGGATAGAGCATTTTGGGTTGGGCTGCGATTTGCACCTGATTTGCATAATATGCATTTTCTTGCCCTGTCACATATGGCTAAGGCCGGGCCTGCCCATTTAACGAAGCAACTGGGGGAAATTGTCTCCGGTAGTGAAGTGGGAAACCAGCCGCTGGTTCCCCTCCTAACTTCAGGGCAGGATCCAGTTCTTTCAGAGGAGAGCAACTGTCTGCAGGCTGCTTCTGACCTCTGGAAGAGTGTCCGGTATGCACAGAAACCCACCCAAGGAGTACGTTGGAGGCAAGAGCATCGCTGAGGGAGTTGCCTGCACCAGCTCGTCTGCAACTCCCAAAGTCATCTTCCACTCTGTTATTTCCAAACCAAATAACATTCTGACTGAGGAAACTCAAAGTGGCAGCCAAATTTAACTTACCAAGGGCTGTTGAAAGTCGCCGCGTGTTTTGGTGCTTCTTGGGGTGCTTTTACAGCTGGGGGGAGCCTGCCTCCTTCGGCCACATGCCTCCATGGCCTAGTTGCAGAGGCCCCTGGCTTGCCTCCATTCAGGCCTCCGGCGAGCGCAGCGGTTCCCTCCCTGGCAGTTGTCCACCTGGGAAGGAAGCAGGGAAGAAGGCCTGGCAGAAACTGAAGAGGGCTGCCGCTCTCCAGCTTCAAAGGGAAACCAAAGTCCTTTCCTCTTGCTTTTCTCGCACTGCTCGCATGTGGATTTCTCTGCCTTTTTCCTTTCCTGGTGGCAACCCCAGCAACGGGCAGGAAACGCGCTGTCTGGCCTGATGGCTCCTCCCCTTGATTGTAGCCAGGGTGGGTGCTTATGCCGTGCCTAAAGGAAGAAGAAACGGGCCGCGAGAAGAGGGCACAGATGCCCATAAAAAGTGCATGGGCTGATTTATACGTAAAGCTGTATGTTGGGAAAGAACCACTGACATTTCAAGATGTCCGTCTCGCTGCTTGCTGCTGATGGGAAGCTTCAAAGCTTCCGGCCTTCCTTCCGGTCAGAGCTGTCTCTCTTTAAAGCAGGGCTGAGCTGCTCTCCTGACGGCCCTTCAAATAGAGGACTTTTCTCTGCAGCGTGGGATACCCAGGCACCGTACCTGCAGCTGCCTTTGTCGCTTGAACCATCTGTTCTGCAGGCCTTTTGATGCTGTGGAACTCCCCTTCTTCTGCACCTGCGCGCTGCCTGGGCCACGTGCCCGCTGGCACGCCGTGCATTGACCATTCTTGGGGCAGTTGTGTGGGCGGTGCCGTTGGGGGCAGGCTGGAGGGGATGGGTGCTCCCCCCCCCCGCTCCTTCCAGCCATGGCTGTTGTCTAACGAGATTTCTAGCCATGTAAACACAGCTGTGTTTTTCACACAGACCTGGCTGTGTGGTTGCACTTAGATAGCTTATCTCTTTAGAACATCTTTGCAGTTGGCTGGAAACTGGCCGGCTGTAGCGCCAATGCAGCGCAAACCTGGCAAGCCTGCAGTGTCCCACACCCGATGGGACGCCGAGCGTGCGGTGGCACATCAGGCGCCAGGGTGTGCGAACTGTGCCTTGGGCCTTCTGGGTGGGACCTCGCATGCTCCGCTCCAAGCCTTCTAGGAGATGTAAGAAGGCTTGCGAGGAGCACAACTGCACAAGCATAATGATTAAATGGGAAGGCAACCGGGTGGATCGTGCCCGTGTATAAACCACAGGGATGGGGACTCTCAGCTTGAATAAAATGGGACTTCCGGGGGCCCTGGTGGCTGCGGACCTCAGTGTTTCAAGGACCACCCCAAACACGGACCGCACTTGCCAAAGCGTTATTCGGGGCAGGACAAAGGCACGCTGCGGTGCCCGCTCGGGGGGCCATCTCATGTTTGTAGGACAAAACTACAAACCACATCCCAGACACGTCCCCGCCACAATGGCTGCCAGCTCAAAACGTAGAAATACTTCTGCTATTAAGCAGACATTCCGGTCAAGAATGGCAGCTCGTGAGACCTGCAGATGTAATTCCCTCTTGCCCTCCCTCCATGGGGGTGTGATACCAGGGGCCCTGCTTGGGAAGGGTAGAAACTGAAGGAGGAAGTCTTGTGGGCCTTCCCCATGCAGTTCAGTGGGGACAGAAGTGCCTCGGAGGAGTGGGTTTTGGAGTACTTGCACTGTTCACTCGCTGGACTGGGACCCAAGCAGCTTTATGCACGACTTGGGGAAGCAGCTGCAAGGTCGTGCCTGTGCGTTTCTTTATCGCATAGATTTGTATCCTGCATTTTAAACCCACCCACAAAAGCAACTTACAACATTCTCTTTGTATTCGTCTTATTTATTTAAAATATGTATACCCCATCCTATATGCAAAGTGTCTCAGGACGGTTTACAGAAATCAAAATGAACAATCCATAATCAGAAACAACAATTAACAATGAGTAAGAATATACATAAAAACAACAATAACATACCACCAATGAAAACAAAGTCATAACTGAATCAAGATCAAAAACAAAATCAAAATGCGACTGTAGATAGTTAAACCAGATTAAAAATTCCTAATTCTTAAAATGGTGGGCAAATAAAAAGGTTTTCACCTGGCGCTGAAAAGAATATAAAGAATATATATTATCATTACATTACCTTTATACTCCGCCTTTCTTTCTCTTGCAGGGAACTCAAGGCAGCTAGCAAGATTCGCCTTTTCTCCACTTTATTCTCACCACGACAACCCTGTGAGGTAGGTTAGCTTGAGACTATGTGACTGGCCCAAAGTTACCCAGTGATCAAATCCTGAAAACAATGAACAGCATTCAATACAGAGATCATCAAAATTGCTAAAAATAAAAGATGGAAGTGTCAAGACTTTGAAACCTTAGACACTTGAAACTTAGTTTGTATACTGAGGGGACCCAGCGGTGTGCACCTTGGGTTTATAGAGCTTTTAAAATGCATTGATTAATTTTAATTAACGTCATTGTGCCGGTGTGTTTGACGCCTGCTACGCCATCTCCGTTCCTGGCTGACAGACTGGAGCAAAACCCAATCTATTCGCTAGTAGCAAACACGATACTCGTATGAGAAGCAGGCAAGCAAAGTGCATGCAAACGCATCAAATACAGGCTGCCATGAATAAATGTTTAAAATCCTCCTACAGGCCTGCAAAGAAGGGGCCATGCACAGATCCAGTGGGAAAGTATTCCAAACACTCGATCTGAGGACAAAGCACTTCTTGAAGAACAGGGAGGGTTTGTGGGCGGACATACCGTCCGGAGCTGGAAGGTCATTAACCAGCCTTAACCCAAGCAGAGATGGGAGCTTCCGTCTGTCCCGGAAGGGGATCTGTGTGAAAGGAGCCCCTGCCGGCACGTCGGATTCCCCAGGTTTCCTCGGCCCAGCACCCTTCGACCACGCTGGGCTGCAACTCCTCAATAATAAACATCCCAAAATTGACCTTTACTCCATGAAGCTGCATGGTCGGAGATGCAGGACAGACGCGCGGTTAAATGCTTTATTGATTTACTTATTTCTGCTCTTTCTGTACTGCTAAATGTTAAGAAACATGCCTGTGCAGCTTTCACAGAAATATCAAAATCACATGGGAAGCATAATTTTAAGGGTGATCAGAAATAGGACAGTGATTGTGCGACGGGGCAGGACAGGAAGATTCAAATGGAGCAGTGCGGCTAATTTGATGACGGGCCAGGGAAACTCGGGTGCACTTGTGGTTTTCAGGAGGCATTTGAAAGATGCCCAGTTTTCTGCCCATGGGAGGGGTCACCACCAAGAGAGGTCCCTCCCAAAAGGCCTTCCATTGAGCTACTGCATGGCGACGTGCTGATAAGTTTGGACGATCTTTGCGGTTGGTTGGATTTATAAAAGGAAGGCATCCTGCCAAGCTTGCCGTTCAGTGCCACAAGGCGTGGTGATGGACCATGAACTGGATTAGGCAAATTCACGGCTGGAAAGGCCCTCACTGGATACTGGCTGGGAGAGTGTCACCTTGAGCATCAGAGTCCCTAGGGCTCCGTACGCTGCCAGCAGGTGAACTTGAAGGTGCAGCTGCATTCCTGTCATACCTGCAGACCCCTGGCAGGTGTCTGGTTGGGCACCCTGTGAGCAGAAAGCTGCAATAGCTGGGCCCTGCTTTGGTCTTCTCATGTTCTTACCTTTTCTGGAGACCTTAGCAATTGCACTGATCTTTGCACTGATTCAGCGGTTCTTCGGACCTTCCTTCTAGTCTCCTTCACTGATTGACCCCAAGTGGGGCTCTGGTTACCATGAAAGGACTGTTCGGTGCATACTGAGCCCCATCCCCTGCTTATATGAACAGCAGTAACTCCAAAACCTCATATATCCCTGCAAGAAGAAAGGTAGCATATCAGGAAGAAAGGTTTTCTGTGGCTCCCTTCCTGATGTGCTAGATTACTACATGAGTGGAGTTTCTTTTTTCTTTTTGATATGAGGAAACATTAAAATATGACAAACTTTCCTTTTACCCAATTCTAAACAGAGGTGGTAAAGTCCAGAAATCAAATACTTTACTATGTGTAAAGCATACAGTGGCTCTATTTATTCTTTATATTTTTTTCTAATTTTAATAAAATTCTGTTTTGTTAGTCTTAAGTCTCTGCTTTAAACAAATCAACACAGAAGCCACATGTTCTTCCCAGCAGCTGTTTGCTCCAAAGCACTCCAGAGCTTCCAGCAGCTGCTGTCTTCAGTTTCCACAAATGCCTGTCATTAGGCATGCGACTCATGGCAGTCATTTTGTGGTGGTGCCCATGACAGCATCTTGGATTGCCAAATGCATCCGCAGATGTAAAAAGCTTTTTTGCTGCTGGGCTGCACTGACTGAGCTTGCTGGCCAGGGTTGTAGGCAGGCGCTGCATTGAAAGCCTTTTGATGTGCAGAAAACCACTTTCTTCCTGAATTCTGGCCCCTTTCCCTGGGATTTAACTCCTTCCCAAGCCTGGCATTAGCACACGGTTTGATTGCTAAACTTACTTTCCTCGCAAGGCCCCCGGCCTTATTACCGGTGGAAGAGACAACCGTGCTTGGGAGTGTAGGTTGAAATTGGAAGGGGGAATGGGCCCACCGAGTGTGGGAGCCTCCGTCCCGGGGGCTTTTGTCAGGAGTCCCCTCAGATCCGGAGCAGCCCCTGACCATTAGTTCAAAGCAACGGCCGAACGGGGCAGCTTCCTGCTAGCGAGGCTGCTGGCCCCCATCCCAAATTCCCTGGCTTGGAGATGCCGGTTGTCCCTTCTCTGAGGCAGGCACCCTTCACCGGTGGACGCCTACAGAACGGATCTCTTGCACACTGGAACGAGCACTACCAGCTCGGCCGGGGGCTTCTCGTTTCGCTGGACGGCTGGCTAAACACCCGCTTTTCCTCTGTTTTCATGTGCAATTTCTCCTCCTCCTCGAGTTATCTTAAACTGTGAGAGCTCCCACGGTTTAGAGGCAGGTGGGACCACTGGCTTTCAACAGCTGTTGCTTCTCTTGATTTCTGTCAGGAGATCTGCAGTTTATCCACACACAACAACCCTGTGAGGTTGGCAGGGGGAGGGAGAGACTGGGCTCCGGTTCTGCAGTCAACTTTCATGGCTGAGCGGGGGTTTAACCTACATCTCCCCTGTCTTAATCCAGACTTACCCTTACTTCTTCAGATGCAATTCCCATAATGTGTTATAAATCAATAATTTAGGCTCCGGCAACAGTGCAAGGGGGGAATCAGAGAATGGATTGCTCAGAGGCGAACAGGAGCAGAAGTGCACAAGGCGGCCCGTTTTGCCAACTGTGACATGTCAGAGGATGTGAAAGGGTTAAGCCCCGACAGTTTCAGCCTCCCAAATTTCTCTCTTGCAGCCTTTCTCTCTTCTGTTTTGGTTTCTGACCCAGTGACTCATCCTTTTGTCCCCAGCCCTTATCCAATTGCTCTCATCAGCTTTGGATTAATTTGCAGTGACTGGTATCCGGTTTTAGGGTGGAAGATCAGCAGTTCTCGGACACCGGCCCTCTCCTTGTAAACTTGGCAGCCGTGTCTCTCGGGCAGGCACTTATTTCCAGGAGCATAGGTCCCATGAAACACCTGACTCCCAAGCTGCGTGGGACCACCACTCCTAGCATCCCCTAGCAGGCATAGCTGCCTGGAGGGGGCTGGGAGTGGCCACCCGGTCCCCGGGAGGGCGAGGCTGGGGAAGGCAGTCCTAACCCCACTGCCCATCCTCGGAGAGCTGAACGTCGTGCTGCAGTGGGATCCCATCCTAGCAGCTGGGCCAGCCCTGCCGTTATCCGGGCCGGCAGTGGAGGGGAAGAGGTGAATTGTGAGGCTCTCCCCACCCCCAGGACACACAGTTGTCCCCGCTGCCCCCCGGATGACCTGCGGAGCTGAGCAGCCGGGCTAGCGCATTTGAGAGCCAGCGGGCCCAGGGGTTAGGGGCGCTGGGCTGGGGCCCTGGGAGAGCCGGGTTCGAGTCCCTGCTTGGCCGCAGGGCTCACTGGGTGACTCCAGGCCAGTCGCGGACTCTCAGCCCAGCCTACCCCACAGGGCTGTTTTTCCGAGGATAAGAATTTGAGGAGGAGAATTAGGGGAGCTGCCTTGAGTTCCTTGGAAGGAAAAAGGCAGGGTACAAAATGAATAAGTATCAGGGTGATTTTAGGGAGTTCATTCTGGTAACACGGCGGTGGACTATTGGTGAGTCCCGCCAGAATCTCTGTTTATTCTGGCTTCTGGTTTAGCTTGCCCAGATGAATTCTCTGTATGTGTTTCCCTCACTCACACTGCATTACGGGGCATATGGAGCAGGTATTTTTTTTCCAAAATACAAGCTTAGGGAAATGTATGCAAAATTTCTCCTCTAGCTTTGATCCATCTTTGCATGTTGAATTTTGGGAATTTGGAGATGTTTGCCTGTTCTTTTTATTATATGACATTTATATCCTACCTGTTTTCCTCTTGCAAGAAAGGAAGGTTTTCTCCCCTCTGTATTATCCCCACAACAACCCTGCAAGGTAGTTTCGGTTAAAAGGCTAGGATTGGCCTAAGAACACCCAGGGAGCTTCCTGGCTCAATAGGGACTAGAAACCAGCCAACAGTCTAATCATCACACCAGCTCTCAGTGTTAGGACTGCAACTGCCAGCAGGTTAAATGTGAAAATGTGGTTTCTTATTTCTGCAAAACAGCATTGATACTTCTCTGATCCCACTTTGTAAAGCAGCCAGGATACAAGAAAGCAACAGACCATTTTTTCTGCCCTTAGCTGCACTTAATTGGCATCTCTTCAAATAGAACCTTTGTGTTAAGAAGCCCTGGACCACTTCCTGGTTTTGAGGCAGAAATGAAGAGTCATGTAAATGACCTAAATCAAGGTTTTCAATTAAGTAAGGCTTGCAAAGGAAGATTGCAGCTGGAGAGCTGTGGGCCTGTTCCCTGGACATGGTAGGCTTACTCTCGAGTAGACTGGTATGAGATTGCTCTGCAACTCTTCCTGCAGGCTGATTCCCTTGGCTTGAGGCAAGAAAGAAGGAAAACAGCCACTCAAACATACTCAGATGTAAACAAAGGACTACGGGTCCCTGCCCCCCCCTAAGTAAATGCAGATGTAAATATCCTTGCCTTTCATCCTTCTTGGAAACACAGAATCCAAAGAAAACAGATGAGGGCCCCTTCCAGACAGGGATGACTCACGCACGGAATTCAGTGGGTCTCCATGATGACCACACCACACTCCCCTAACCGTCCACTGCCCCTTCCGTCTTTTACCCTTTTAGCAGAAAATGCATTACGGAAGAAAATCCGGAGGAGCCACTGTGGTGTGGTGGTCAGAGTGCTGGACAGGGACTCCAGACACCTGGGTTCTAGTCCTCATGAAGCTCCACGGGTGCTCTCAGCCTAGCCTACCTTACAGGGCTGTTGTGGGGATGGAGAGGAAGAGGACTAGCAAGCCGCGCTCCTGTGCGAGTTCTGACGGAAGAACATGCTGCAACTCCCAGCTTTCTCCGCCGTCCTGGCTGGCTTGACCTGCCTGTAGCCCCTTTTCTGTCCAAGTGTGCAGAAGACGGAGGAATAGCCTGCTGAAGCCCCTTCGGCCACATAAATCCGTTGCCATTTCTTTATAGTGCACGCCACCACAACCTGTTCCCCTGCAGATGTGCCAGATGCAACTCCCATCTTCCCAGGCAGCATGGTCATTGGGGACGATGGGGGTTGTAGCACGGCTGGAGGGAACCAGAGGGGGGAATCTTCTGCAGTGGATGATTTGCAAGATAAAGGCGGGGGAGGGGTGGAAATTCATCCTGTAAGAAGACAGCCAGATTATCCTGGGCAGTGCAGGAGAAGTGGGGAGGAGGTCAGATCGCCAAGAGGAGCAGCCGGAGCAGCTGGAAGGGGCTGGACTTGAAGGCCCCGGAGGCTGTTGTGCTGCAGGGAACTGAGTCAAAGAAAGAGGCACCAGGGGCCGAGCTGAGCCGAGACCGCAAGCCCCTTTCCCAGGCCGGCTAACCTACTTTCGGCTGCCGCTTCCGGGGGGCTGGACTCAGATGACTTGAGCGGAGAGCCTGCCCTTCAGTCTGGCAGCGGCGCAGAGGCTTCTCCGCGAAGCTCCCGGCGGCAGCCGCTCGGTTCCCGGGCTCGTGGGTGTTCGCCGCATCTCACCCACTTCCACTCTGCTCTCGGCCAGGTCCCGCATCGCCGGAAGACGTCGGGATGAAGCCGGGAGTGGCGTGTGTCCTGCTGGTGCTGCTGGGAGCCGCAGGCTGGTGCGAGGTACGCCTCCGCTGCCGTTGTTCGCCCTTGCCTGGGAGATGGGGCTCTCCCTCGCCAGCCCCTCGCGCGAGCCTTCCGCGGGTGCAAGGAGGTGATGGCGAGGAAGAAATGGAGAGGAGGGGGAGCCTTGCTGGGTGGGATCCAGAGGAACCCGACTTCTCGTCAGTGGCATCCTCTCTTGCCCTGCCTGGCTTCTTGCTGGCACGAGTTTACCTTCCTGCTCTGCAAGCCTCGCTGCTCCGGCCTGCCGTCCTGCAGACGCACTGCACTGCCACGGCCTTGTTGGCTGGGGACGATGCTGGTGGGGGTCCCGTCCCCCTGGAGGGCACCATGTTGGGGCATCCGTGCTCTGTGGGTCGGTGACTGTGGCTAGCATTTCATGCCCCCAACGAGCATGGAATTTAACAGACGTGCCGAGGGCCGCTTTTGCCTTTTCCTTTAAACTAGCGCAGAAGCCTCTTAAAGTGGAGAGGTTGGCGACACCTACGCCCTCCCCACCCCGGCCCCACGTGCTTCGCTTTGAACGGCAGCCCTAGATTCGAACGGCTCGTCTCCCCAGGAGCTTCGCTTCTCCACCACAAACCCCTTTTTATTCTCTTGGCAGGGGCTGCGCATGCGCGTCAGACGAGGGGCCCGATCGAGGCAAGGTAAGGATGGGCAGCCGTGTGCTGGCATGGGGGGAAGGGTTTATGAATATATAAGGGTATATAAGGGGAAGGGAATATGGAGCAATGCTTAGCAACAGTCACCTATACACTGGTAACTCCCCAACTGGACTACTGCAACGCGCTCTACGTGGGGCTGCCCTTGAAGGCGGTCTGGATACTTCAGCTGGTCCAGAATAGAGCCGCCAGGTTGTTAACGGGGACCGGCAGGCATGAACACGTAACGCCGGCCCTTTTCCACCTACACTGGCTACCAGTCGAAGCCCGGGGCCAATTTAAGGTGCTGGTGGTGACCTATAAAGCCCTAAATGGCTGAGGCTCTGGTTACCTGAAGGAGCGTCTCCTTCCATATGTGGCTGCCCGCCCCTTAAGGTCTGGGGCAGACGCCCTTCTCCTTGAGCCCTCCCTGAAGGAGAGCAGGAGGGTGACTGCCAGGAGGAGGGCCTTCTCTGTGGTGGCACCCCAATTATGGAATATGCTCCCCAGAGAGGTTCGCCTGGTGCCAACGCTTCTTTCTTTTTGGCGCCAGGCTAAAACCTTTTTATTCTCCCTTTATTTTAATGTCTAATTGGTTTTAATGTGTTTCTACTGCACGCTGTGCTACCTTAATTTCTATTTTAGTTGTTGTAAAATAGACGCTAGTATAAGGACAGCTTATAAAAGCATTAATCAGACAGACAGACAGACAAACTGGCTCGGCACCATTTCCCACTAGGGCTGGTGTCAGCAGGCAGCGTGTTCAGGCACCCGCCGAGGGCCCAGAAGCCAGGGGCCCTGGCTGCAGCCCCCTGTGCCGGCTCCTCCTCTTCGCCCTCTGGCCCAGAGAGAGGCGTGGTGACGAAGGGGAACCGCCTGCCCCGCCAGCCTCTCGGCTCTCTGCTGGCCGAGCGAGCAGGCAAGCAGAAGCCACCGTGAGGAAGAGGAGAGAAGCAGCAGCAGCTGCGGTGCGAAGCAGGCTCAGGGTGGGAGGTCACGGGGGATAAGCATGCAGACGTAGGGGGGGAAGGAGCCGTGCGGTCCAGGGGCAGGGCGAGGCCCGTGGCAGAAGCGTGCCAAGTGGTCTGCTTGCTCGATGGTTCCAGAAAATGCGGCTCGCCCAGATTCCCTCTTGGTAAGGCAATTCCAGGGGCTGGTTTGCCAGCGACCAGGTCAAGCACCGGATCCTTCTGCTGACTTCTGAAATAACTGCAGGGCTGTCACAGGGGGTCACATGATGGCTGATCCTGCACTGGATTTCCCCAAAGTCCCAGCTGCAGCGCCTTCCCAAAACTTCACAGGGCTTTCAGTCCATCCTGATTTCTCAAACTTTTCCATGCAGCCAGAAGGACTGGGAGTGGCTCCTGATGGGATCTGCATGCAATCCCAGGCGTGTGCACATTGTATTACTTTGGATGTCACACACCCCTTGTCCTGCCGAGTGCTTGGAGGGAAGGGCAGGCAGCCCCCGCCTGCAGCTGTTGGGGGACTGGGGATGATGGGGACTGAAGCTTCTCCTGTTCCTTATGCTGTGGCTGGCAAAGAAGGGGAGGCTGCAGAGCAGGGAGCAGGGGAGCTCAGGTGCTTCCGGGGACTGTCTGCTCCAAAGGCCTTCCTGTCTCCTGCTTCCAGCCCTCTGCAGAGAACTGAGCACCCAGCAAGTCTACCAGCAGTCCGAGAGCTGGCTGCGCCAGGCGGAGCAGCACGTCGAATACTGTCGATGCGAGAGCAGTGGCGCCTTCTGCCACCGGGTGCCAGTCCAAAGTGAGTGCTGGGGAGGCTGGGGTGTGTTGCGTGGCCGCGAGGGAGCTGAAATGCTCACGGCTGCCCTCCGAGAATCCTGGGCCCATCCGAGGTGAAGCCGGCACATCCTGCAGCCAGGGTGTCGAGCCTCTTCTGGCCTGGAGACCAAGGCCAAGCCTGGAGAAGCTCCCGGGGAGCAGAAGCATTCCAGGGATGGGACGGGCCGTAGGCTGCAGTGCCTGAAAGGGCAGGAACAGCTAGGAATATACCCCTTCTCAGACTGGATGTGCCCGTCCTTCAGAAGGGGGGCGGCAAAATGGAGCCAAGGCCTGGAAGACACCAAATGGTCAGCGGCCGGTGAGGGAGAAAGGGGGTATGGTCAGGAGGAGGCGGTGTGGCCTGGGAGGCTTGAGGGGCGGGATGGGAGCCCCAACATGGCCACGCGGGGCCTTCAGGCCTGCCTGGGCTTCAGCCCCTGGCCAAGAGTCTGCCAGAACGGGTCTGGGCACACACATCCCCGCCCTGAAGGAAGGAAAAATGGCTCGGATGTGCTGGGCGCGTGTTCAGTCCATGTGTGCCGCTCCCTAGCACAGGCGCGCGCAATCCGCAGGCCGGGCTGCACACGGCCCTGGGCCGCCTCTCAGACGCCCCCTGCAGGCAATCGGATGAAGCTTCCAGCAAGGCAAAGGACTGCCCGCCCCTGTCCTGTGGGTCAGCCGCCTGGGCCCCCTGGCTCAGCACAGTCCGCCCAGCCCAGCGCTAGCCCCCTGGGCAGGGGAATCCCTGGCGCCAGAGTTGCCGGGGCCTGCTGGGCGCACAGCGCGGGCTCTGCCCCGGCGCGGGTTCTGGTCCCTCCCCGTGTGCTTGCGGGTCCAGGGCAGGTCCCCCCAGACGCTGCAAAAGCAGGGCTGAGCACCCCCCCTCTTGCTCCCACAGGCTGTAGGAGGCCGTGGTGTTTCCACGGGGCCACCTGCTGGGAAGCCCTGTATTCGCCCAGGCTCTTCCTCTGCTTATGCCCGCCAGGCTTCTCTGGGAAGCACTGCGAGTTTGGTGAGTGAGCGGATGCCGGAGGGGCGGGTGGGCGGGTGGGGGAAGGAGGGCTTGCACACGAGGCCCGCAGGACCGATCCTTGGCTTTTGGTGGAACCGGGGGGTCTCGGGGCACGGCTCCGGCTGCAGGCCAAAGGACGGCCAGCGGCACCACAGGAGCACGGAGCAGCCCGTTGGGGCCAACACCCAGCAGCGAACTGGTGCAGGCTCCCAGTCCAGGGTGGTGTCATGGTTAAGAGTGCGGGATGGGGACTCGGGCGATCTGGGTTCAAGTCCCCGCTCAGCCATGGGGCCCACTGGGTGACTCTGGGCCAGTCACAGAGCTTCAGCCCAGCCTACCTCACAGGGTTGTTGCTGCGAGGATGAATAAGCAGGAGGAGGAGAATGCGTTTGTTGAAAGAAAAAAGCGACATATACGAGGGGCGCTCAATGTATTCTCGGTATCAGCATGAAGAAAAAGGAATAATAAATTGAAATAATTTTTATTTTTCAGTGTAGTCCCCCATAACTTCAATACACTTATTACATCTAGAAATTAACTTTGCAATTCCCTGTAAAAAATACTCTTCCTCCTTGTCTAAAAAATGTGCATTAATTGCCGCCTTGAGCTCTTCATCGTCGGAAAATCGCTTTCCACGAAGATCTTTGTTTAAATTCGGGAATAGGTAGTAGTCACTGGGGGCCAGGTCCGGGCTACAGGGTGGGTGGTTTATCTCTTCGAAACCACAGTCTCACACAGCAGCCTTCGAAACACGCGGCATGTGAACGGGCACATTGTCGTGAAGAAGCAACACACCTGCACTCAGTTTCCCCCGCCTTTTTTCTTTAATTGCTTCTCTTAAATTACGCAGAGTGGTTGCATAAGATGCTGCATTTATGGTTTCGCCTTTTTTCGTGTACTCGATCAATAAAATTCCCTTTGAGTCCCAAAACACTGTGGCCATGATTTCTCCGGCCGATGGAGTGACTTTGAATTTCTTCGGAGGGTCAGCACCTTTTTATACCACTGCATGGACTCCTGCTTACTTTCAGGGTCATAGTGATGAACCCAGGTTTCATCTCCAGTAACAATGCAGTCAAAAATCCTCAATGGATCTTCACCACAGAGCTCTAAAAACTCCCTGCAGCACTCGACTCGCACTTGTTTCTGAGGCGCCATGAGCATTCGCGGCACCCGTCTTGCACAGACCTTGGAAATGAAAAATAGTAAATATGGTACCAACGGATAGGTTTGTCATCTCTGCTGACATTTTGATTTTTATTCAGACATCTTCCAATACAAGCTTCTCAATTTTTTTCACATTTCTTTCGTAGTGGCAGTAACCAGCCCACCCAAGCGAGGGTCATCTTCAATGCTTTCTCTGCCCCTTTTAAATTCACTTGACCACTTTTGAACAGTAGATAATGAAGATGCAGAGTCCTGGTAAATGGCCACCATCTCTTCACGAATGATTTTTTGACTTTTTCCTTGTTTTGTAAGGAACCTAATCACAGTGCGGTGCTCGATTTTCTTCAACATGGTCGTGTCAGTCATCATGGTCGCCTTTCACTGAGGATTACTAGGGAACTAATGATCACACTGATTTGAAATTTTGCATGTATACCCTCAGATAGGGTCATTAGCTAATGAAATAATTAAATTACCCACATCAATAGCAAATCAACCCAATACCGAGAGTACATTGAATGCCCCTCGTAAATCCAGTAAAAATAAAACAAAGGAATCCAGCACATTCTGGATGGCAGTCTAGCAGCTGCTCACTCTCTCAGCGAAATGTGGGCCGGGATGCTCCCGTCTGGCTCACCCCCGCACCCTTCGGCCCTTAGCCACCGCGTTGCACCGAATGCAGTGTAGCCTGAGAAGGGGGGAAGGGGCTGCGGGACCCCGGGGCGCAGGCATGGCCCAGCGACGTGCCGGCGATCGCACACCAGTCCTACTTCTGCCCCTCCACACGATGCGAGGGGTGGCAGAGCAGGATCCAGAGGGGCGCAGTGGCCCCGGTCACCCTGTCCCAACCCTGCTACTGCTGCTGCTCGGCAGGCCCCGCTCCAGGAGCCGGACCGGCTGAATGCTTTGCCTCTCCTTGCTCAGAAACCAGAGCTCTGTGCTACAAGGACGCTGGGGAAACCTACCGGGGCCAGTGGAGTGTGACCGAAAGCGGAGCTGCCTGCCTGAACTGGAACCTGAATGCCTTGGCCAGGGAGACCTACAGCGCCCGGCGGCCAGATGCCCTGCGGCTCGGGCTCGGCCACCACAACTACTGCCGGTGAGAAGGGTTCCTTTTAAATTTCATTTACGGTTTTTTGGACAAAGGGCAGGCTGTGTGTTCAGTTAATAAATGGCTGTTGTCATTCGCAGTGATCTTTTGTTCAAATATTTGATTCGATTTTATTATACGTACTGTTTATTTTGGCTTTGCTGGGGCTGCAGTTGTGTTTTTAAAAGCCAAGTCTGCCGACATATTCATGCCACAGAGTACCTATTTATTCGTCGATTGATGAATGGCTGTATTTACTCATTGATTTAAGTCCTCCTCTTCCCCTCACCCGCCCCCCCTCAGGAACCCGGACGCGCACTCCAAGCCCTGGTGCTACATTTCCAAAGCCGGGCGGCTCAGCTGGGAGAACTGCAGCATCCGGCCCTGCTCTGACAGTAAGCGGCCCTGGGAATCGTTTGCTGCTGTGGTGGGGGAAACGCAGTTCCACGTGCTCCCCGCCTGGCAGTTCCCCTTTTTTCTGCTGGTATGGGGAAGAAATGGCCGGACTGCTCCTGGCAGGGCAGCATTCTCCCCTCTAGTCCGGGCTGGGTTTTGTTAGCTGGCTGCCCCCACTTGACAAATCAGGTCCCTGCCCCAGTGATCTTACAATCTAGTGCAGAAGACAACAGAAGGGGAACAAGGGGAGAAAGTGGGGGAACAAGGGGAGAGAGGGGGGCCACAAGGGGCCGCCGTTCACCAGGGTGCGCCCTGGCGATGCGCCCTGGCGATGCTCTAGCCAAAAGCCCCATGGCTACTTTCTCTCCCTTGCTGCAGAGAAGCACACGTGTGTTTCCGGAAGGGGAGTTGACTACCGTGGCAGCCGCAGCCACACACAATCTGGTGCCACCTGCCTGAACTGGGACTCCGAGTACCTCACCCAGAAGATGTACGGGGCCAGGATGCCAGACGCCAACACCTGGGGCTTGAGCAGCCACAACTACTGCCGGTGAGCCGCCCGCCTTCCTCGCTGTGTCGCGCCTTTCTTTAGCAAGACCTTTAAAAACGCTTATTTTAAGAGTATCATCAAGAACTCCTCTGCAGAAGAGGAAGACTTTGTGACCCGCCTGGGGTTCCTTGCAAGAGAAAAAAAGCGGGATTAAAATGCAATATGATCAGAACCATATAAACATCGTATTTTTGTCCAGTCTAAAGAAAACTGGAGTCCTGGGAGGGGAGTGCTTTCCAGAGCCCAGGATGAGCCCTGGGTGAGGAAAGGTGCCTCCTGCACAAAGGTGTGTGTGTGTGTGGGGGGGGGGGGTTGAAGTACGGCCGTTCCCCTTGGCCACACCTTCAATTCAAGCAGCTACATGGATCCATTTAAAATTGGTAAATGTTTTTATATTTCTGACATTTTTTTTATTTATTTAGGATATTTATATGCCATCCTTTGCAAAAGCCTCAGGACGGCTTACAAAGATAAAATACAAATATCCCCAAACATAAATAAATTATTGACTTTGTATCATTTGTTGTTATGGACTGTGTAAGCCATCCAGAGAGCTTCAGCTGTGGGGCAGTACAGAATGTCCCAGAATGCTGGACTATAACACAGTTCTTGGAAACATCCGCTATCGATGTCTTCCGTCCGTCCGTCCTTCCATCCAGTCAGCCAGCAAGCATCGTTTTAAAACAGGTCCTCAGCTGCAGGCTGTCTGGCCGCAAGATGAGGCCAAGTTTCTGAGCGTTTTCCTGGCTTCCCGCATGCCCAGCCTTGAACACCACCTCGCCCAGTGAAGAGTTCTGGGGAAGCCCAAAGCTCGCTCCATTTTGGATTTGTTCACTTAAACAATTTGTTTTGGATTTGTTTTCCTGGGTTTGGGCATTTGTTTGCTTCCCGGCACAGGAAAACAAAGACAGTGCATTCATGAAGCAGTTATTAAGCAGGGCTGCAGCTTCACAGCCCTCGGGGTGGAGAAACGGTGCTTTCCACCACTGCTCCGCGGGGCAGTAATAAGCTTTGTGTGTTGCAGGAATCCCGACAATGACACCCAGCCTTGGTGCTACGTGCGCAAGGGAGGCCAGACCACCTGGGAACACTGCGACGTGCCCGTCTGCTGTAAGTCCTGGTCACTGACCGGTTGCAGGCCAGAGCCTCTGGGCGTGTTGCGGACCGCCTAGCTTGGGATGCGACAGCACGCGCGGTTCGGCTGCAGACGGGCCGGCGGCTCCTCGCCCGCCCAGTCAGCGTTCGCCCAGCACCAGCTGGTGTGCAACCGCTGTGAGAAAGGCAAACGCCATGCTGGGCGTGATTAGGAAAGGCGCTGCAGAATAAAAGGGCCGGTAGCGCAGCACCTGCGAACGAATCTTTGGTGCAACGACGCTTAGAATATGGTGCACAACTCTGGTCGCCGCACCCAGAAGAGGGCGGTGTAGAGCTGGGCAAGGGAGATGGTCCGGGGGTTGGAGCAGCTCTGATACGAGGAAGAGCTGGGATCATTTTGCTTCGAAAAGGTGAGGAAGGAGAGCCATGAGAGAAGCGTGGGAAAAGTGGATTGCGAGGCTTTTTGCTTTCTCTCCCATAATGCTAGAACCCAAATGAAGCTGCTTGGTGGGAGATTCGGCTCAGAAAAAGATGGACTTTTTTGGCCCGTTTTTTGGATGAACTATGGAACTCACGTTCATGTGAAGTAGCAGCAGCTGCCAGCTGGGATGGTTTCAAAGAGGGATGGGACACACTGCTGAAAGAGAGGGCTTCCAGGAGCTGCTAGTCCTGGTGGCCGTATTCTCCTTCCGCGATCAGAGGCCATACGCCTGTGCACTGGAGTTGCTGGGGAACATGGCTGAGAAGCTGCCGCTACACCCTTTCCCACGTGGATGGCCACTGCATGAAGAGACGCTTTTGGACTGCTCCGGCGCGGCCCTCGTGTTGGGACGCACCAAGCGGCTCCATTTGGCCTCCACCTGGAGATGGATAAATAGATGGCTGTTTGGTCCTCCTTTTCTGAAGGACGTTTGTACCTTTATGAAGGCACATTTCATATTTGCCTGCTGCAGGAGAGCCATTTGATTGTTCATTTTCGGTGGCTGTCTTTGTTTCGGGGGAATTCACATTTCAAAAACAGTTCAAGGAGGCGCTCCCTCTCAGCTTCGGCACCTGCTTGCCCTCCACACTCCAGTTCAGAGGGATGCAAGACCGGAGAGGGGGGACGGTGCTGGGCAGGAGGTGCCCATGGCCTGGCTGGTGCAGAAGAGCTGGGCCCTCAGAGCACGAATCGCCCGAGGCCCCCAGAACTCAGCACGGAGCACGGCTTCAGACTTGGCAGCTCGGCACTCATTTCTGCACCTTCGCTTCCCTCTCGCAGCCACGTGTGGATTGAGGAAGCACAATCCAGTGCAGGAGCTGGTCAAATTGGGCAGGTTTTCGCATATCCAGGCCCACCCCTGGCAGGCGGCTCTTTTTAACAAGCACCGAGGAACGGACTCCTTCTTCTGCGGCGGGATTCTGATCAGCCCGTGTTGGGTCCTCTCGGCTGCGCACTGCTTCTCAGACGGGTAAGAGACCAGCCCTCGACTTGGCAGCTTCCTGCCCTCCTGCCGTGCGGCGGAGATGCAGCGGTGTGGCCCGCCGCGCCTCTGACAGAGGGCCAGACCTGACCCGATGCCGACGCAGCGAGCGGCAGCCCAACTGCTGCCGCTTGGCCTTCTCTGCAGTCAAGGAGCAGGGGGCCCTGCAGGGCCGGAGCGGGACCCGGCCGGACGGGTGAGCCATCGGGCCCTTCCCCTTCCCCTGCTCCCGCTGCTCCCCTTGGGAAGGTGTCCTGTCCCGGAGCGAGCACCCCGCTGCAACCTGCCGAGTCTTTGCAAGGGAGGCTGCAAGCCGGAGGCTGTGCGGATACACTGGCTGCTAAGCAGCACGGCCTTCCAAAGAGTTTTCACTCCTCGCCTTTTTAAAAGTACAGTTGTCCAGCCCTGGTGGCATTTACCAGATTACAAATATTTCCATGCTTTTCCAGCCTTCGGTGGGTCTCTTCCCCGCCTTTCTCCTCTTCCCCTGCCTTGGCAAAATGATTCAAACCTATTGGAAAACCTCAGAGGTTGATTGATTGACAATTGAGCCATCGATTGATCGATCGCATTTGTATGGTGCCCCATGGCCAGAGGGGCTATGAAATAATAAAAAGGGCAACAGATCCAGCGAAACCAGGCCAACATACACAGATGTGTAGAGCCTGTGTAATTAATTTTGATCGCAGAACTTGGCTTCCTGGTTGTGGAACATGGGCGTTTTGGAACCCTGAGCAAACACGTGTGCTTTCTCTCTCTCACATGCTTCATGCTTCGATCGGGTCTGTTCCAAGCGCCACTTCTGGCATATGACAAACGTGTAAGGCAGCTGGGTTGTCCTGCATTTATTTTCCCCCAAGTTCGGTCGCCTGCTGAAGGTACCAGTGGGACACATGGTTGAGCTGAGCTTTGAAACTCTGGGACCTTTCTCTCCCAGTGCGTTGGACTGCAACGCCTAGCATCCCCAGCCAACATGGAGAACGCCCCTTGCCCATCCTGCCTGCGGATGCCAGCTGTGGTAGTTCAGCACATCAGATCACTGGGGACTGCAAGGCAGAGAGTGCGTTTCACTCCTTCGCTCCAAATTCCCGGGCGGCAGCGATGGACTGAGCTCTGTTACCAGATGGGCAGAACTTGAGATGCGAAGCCGTGCCACTGGAGAGCAAACGTTTTCCTCCTTTCAGGAAACAATCCACCAGCATCAAGGTCGTGCTGGGCAGGACTTCCCGGGTCGAGCAGGAAGAGATGGAACAGGTGTTCGAGGTGGAGAAATTCCTCCTGCACCGGCTTTATGAGCAGAAGACATACGACAACGACATTGGTAAAAGCGCTTTCCTGCCCGCTTGTGGGCCCGGAGGGGCCGGCCTGGCCTGGTCCTCTTCGTCCTCACACGGCTCACTTCTTGCGTTTTCTCCGCCACCAGCTCTGCTGAAGCTGAAGCCCGTCTCCGGCAGGTGTGCGGTGGAAACGGACTTCGTGCGCACCGTCTGCCTGCCGACGCCTGGCTTGAGGCTGCCCGACTGGACGGAATGTGAGGTCTCGGGCTACGGCAAGCACGACACATGTAAGCACGCCGTCCCTGCGTTCTGGGCTGCTTCTGCTCATTCATTTGGTTGTTTCTTAAAATATGTTATTTGTAAGCCCAGCCTCTCCCGGGAGGGAGTGGGCGCCTCCAGGTGCTGCCACAAAAGCCGCTGCCCTCGCGCCACTCAGCCGAGCATCTTTCCGTGTCTGGAGACATTGCAAGAGCGTTTCCGGTGAGGGCCCTGAACTGAGAGGAGGCGGCGGTCCTTTGGGTGTCCCGTTCCAAAGTCTTTGCCCCGTCCCACCCCAGCCCCTTCTGGGGTGGGTTTTTGCTGCAGAGGGTTTGTTTTTCAGCAGGGAGACTTGAACTAAAGTCCCTTCCCAGCCTCATGGATGAACCCCCCCCCCCCCCCCGAGATTCCGGTCCCCTGGTTTAGGTCTGTCTGTCAGGGTTCATCCGCGGACAACAGGGAAAAGTGCCCTACACCAAACCTCTTCCGCCTCTTGGACTTGCTGCCGTGGAAGGGTCTCCCGGCTGAATTCCGATCTGCTTACGAGCGGATCCAGGTGGATAAGACATGTTTATACCCGGAAGGCATCTGTCTTCTATTACAGCAAGCCGGTGCCCCCGAGTCAAGAGTGTTGCCTTCACCTTGAGCTTTCTGGGAATACCCTTCTTGCTGCTCTGGCCTCCGTGCCAGGGTTCAGAATTAAACAAACGAGAAAGTGAGTGTAGAGCAGGGCAGGCCGCTTTCTCCCAGAGAAGGCCCTTCCCTGTCTGGGCTGCATCTCTGAAGAGTACAGGAGAGCGCCCGTGTGCAGAAACAGTGTCCTGCATGCTGAAAGCCAGCTTCTCCATTACAGCTAGCTTTGGGTGTGTGTGGATTTTCATTTTAGACTTTTTGGAATTAGAAACGTTCTCCTGTGTAGGAGGCGAGACCATCATGCTGCCTCCACATCTGGATGTCTTGCCAGCTCCCAGATAGAGGTGCATCGTTCCTCTGATGTGACAGGAGAAAACTCTGAATAGGGTACTGGGCACTGCAGGATGAGCTCCCCTCTCAATTCACTGCAGCGCTTACCCAGCCTCTCCCTCTGGCTTTTGAAACTTCAGCAGCCTCTGCCCATCTCCTTATAAAGCCTGTTGTGGTGGCTTGAGGACTAGAATCTTGCTACTTTTGAAAACAAAAGCAAGCCAGGAAAGGTGAGATGCTCCGTTTCCGAACCTAGCACCCAAGTGGCAGCAAAGCACCTCAAAGACATGCAGTTTTAGCCACGTCTGTTTTTCCTTGTGAGGCCTGCTCTTCCTTGGGGAAAATTTGCCGGGGCCGCATGCAGCTGGTGGAGTGTGGCTGAAGGCTACGGTGGGCGGGGTCGCAACCGAGCGCTGGCAGGGCCTCCTTACTCTCAGTCCGTCTGTCTCGCCTTGGAAGCCCCTTGCCTGCCTCTCTGTTGCACGGGGAGCACCCCGTCTGCTGTGCTACCTGAGGCCAGGAATCCACCCAGCTTCTTGGGGTGCCGTCCCTGCTGGGAAGCAACACCTGCATTCCAGTAATGAAGAGGAGGGCAGGCCCCTTGTGAGCACCTGTCCTTTGCCTTGCGCTGCTTCCAGGTGTGTTTCTGAGCCATCCCGTTGGTGCCAACTCGCTTCCCTTTCTGCCCACAGCTTCTCCTTTCTTCTCCAAGAGCCTGAAGGAAATCCACGTCAGGCTGTACCCGGCCAGCTTGTGCACGCCCGAGCATCTCGACGACAGGACCGTCACACAGAACATGCTGTGTGCGGGAGACACCAGGGAGCTGGATGACGCCTGCCAGGCAAGCCCAGTTGTCTGAATATAATACTGTGCATGTTTGTATCCCGCCTAGTGTGCCTTCCGTTCATTTAGAGGCTCCCCATATTTTGTGCCATTTCACCCATTCAAAACCGTCGCCATGCTTCAAAAGCTAGAGCTGTAACCTAAAATACCTTCCTAGTTTTGCTCATTTAGTCCTGCTCGTTTTGGCTTCAGCCTTCCCCCCACCCATGCAATGCAGTCCCTGATGAGAGCCTCTCTGGAACGGACTCTGGCAGAGGTCCCGCACGCCTGTGCGGAGACCGAATGTAACGGCTGGTTAGTACCCGGCATGCCAAAATACGCCGCATCTTTGCTCTTACAGCCAGTAACCACCGATATCGACCATGACTTCCGACACACCTGATCAAAAATTCACTGGGAGAGAAGCCAGTGCCTGAGTTCACGAAACCATTCTGTGCACAACTTGACAGCTTCTTCCAAATGGGGGTTGCTTAATGGCTTCCAAACAAGCCAGGATCCATAAGCTTCCTTGAAGCCACTGCACTCACGGTTTATTAAGCCAGGATGGGTAGCTAAACAAAGCTTCTCCAATCTCATGTCCTCTAGACACGGACCCCCATGATTTCCAGACAGAATGGGTGATGGGAATTGTAGTCTAACACATTTGGAGAGCACCTGGTTGCAAAAGACTATGGCCTGTGAATACAGAATAAAAACATCGTCTTTCTTTTGGGGACCTCCAGTAATCGCTTGCACTGCATGACCTGTCCTCTTATTTCAAGAGATGCATGGGGAATATACGTAGTAGCCTGTAAAATTCTATCATGTCTCCTCCGAACTTCTGGGGAGAGAGGCAATCCTTTTCTTGTGAAGAAAAGCCCTTACAAACGGGGCATTCCCAATTTCTTCTGTTCCCCAGTTTAAGCATGGAAAACCATCCTGGGACGTTTTGCTAAGGTGGGGTATAAATATTGTTAACAAATAAATAAATAGCTGAAAAGACCGAAGCACAAAAACCGAACATCATTTCACCCTCCCAAGGTTACCTCACTTTGGTGCAAATTTATAGGCAATGAATTTGGGCATAGGTGCGGGTTGACCCAGGACTGAAATGACCAGTAGACCTATAAAGTGAATGCACACGGGCATACATATATTACTGAAGAGAAGAGCAATACCAGAGATGAAAACTATGAATGCATTAACAAATAAACAAACAGCAGGGCAGCGTGCCCCGATCCACACAGGGATCTTGGGGGTGTGTATTTATTGCCCAGCCCTGATTCTGGAGCTAGCGTCCCTTGCAAGAAAAGCTCACGTTCGGGTCATTGCAAGCGTCTTCCAGTACAAACCACGGAGTCACGAGAGCAGTGAAGGGTGAGGACTCTCCCTCCACTGTCCCCACACGCCCAATGCCTTGCCTGGATAGGGACTCCCATAAAAAAATCAGGGTGATCGTTCCTGCCATTTGGCACGGAGCTGCTCCTGGTTCGTGCTTCCGAGGCAGCCGAGTCGCCTGCCAGCTGTGCCGTCCGGCTTCAGGGCCCCACAAATGTCGGTCTCTTGCTCACTCACCTCTTTTCTGCCCCTCTTGCCTGCAGGGCGATTCTGGGGGGCCTCTGGTTTGCCCGAACAACGACCGAATGACCCTGATCGGGATCGTCAGCTGGGGCGTGCGCTGTGGGATAAAAGGCACCCCGGGCGTCTACACCAACGTGGCCCGCTACCTGGGCTGGATTCGAAGTAACATGGCCTCCTGAGCCGCCCGCACTTCCCCGGTGTGCCGGACCTCCTTGCATCAGGGAGAGCAGCGCACTCGGCGTGCTTCTCGTGGCACCGGCACGGGGCCGTTAGCGAGGGACACGGCCGTGTGTGCCGCCCCTGCCCTCTCCCAAGGCCGTCCCGCCGGTGTTTATTTATTCTTATTTTTGAGCCACAGCTGCTGTTTCAGAAGTCACCCACCCCAGGAAATTCAAAGGATGGGGAGGAAAAGTACTCGGGACCCTGGTAGGCCCATTCCCAGAAGTACCCAAAGCGTGGAGATCTGTTTTTCCCTGCGCAGTAGCGTGCGCAAAAGGACATGGAGGCAGCGCTCCAGGCCCACAGGAGGTCTGAATGGCAGAAACCTGGAGCCACACCTGTCCATTGTTTTATGGAGTTCTTTTCAGGATTGTGAGGAGGAGCTGGAGAACGTAAATGGGGCTTGTTTGGTTTTTAACACCCCCATGACTTCAGTCGCCTGTGCAAAGGGATAATTGCAGTGGGTGTTTTTTTAGGGGTGTTTACTGACTCTTTGCTGGTCTTGGGGTCCCCATCACACCCTGACACTCATGCTTTGTACAAAGCAAAGGTAGCAAGCAGGGAATTCTGGGGTCCTCCTAGCTATAAAAAGAAGAGAGGACTTGGAAACATAGAAACAGCGAGTCAGAAGGGATTTGCCGGGTCATCTAGTTTGACCCCCGGCTCCAGCTGGCTGAAGCCAGCTGAAAAATGGACCCTTCTGCTGAAGAGGGGACCTTAATTAACATCCTGGCCCAAAATCACAATTCAGCTATGTTGGCATTTCAGCTTGTCTCAGACCAGGCATTATCTGCCACTTCCAGGATCTGCCACTTTTATCTGATGCAAAAGTTAGATTATTTTTATACTTTGTAGTTATTCAACATTTTCTGTATGAACAAAAGTTATTATTTTTGGTGTACTTTTGGATGGCAGATGCATCTTCTGCTGCTGCTTGGAAAGAATGATGGTGTGTGTCTATGTAGAACATTAAACTATACTAGTTTACAGAAGTTTGTCTTTGCATTAATTGGTGTGGTGTAATGTAGTGGTTAAAAGCACAGGGCTGGGACTGGGACTCAGACGATCTGGGTTCTAGCCCCACTCGGCCATGGAGCCAACTGGGTGACTGGGCCAGTCACAGACTCTCAGCCCAGCCTACCTCACAGGGTTGTTGTTGTGAAGATAAGATTGCAAGCAAGAGGAGGTGAAGAATGCAAGCTGCCTTGAATCCTTTAAAAAGGCAGGATATACATCTAATGAATAAAAAATAAAAATATTTTCAATTAGAAGTGTGTGTGCAGGGGGGGGACACAACGACTGGGAGCCAGCTTTAAGCTTTTTGATTTGATGAAAACGTGGTTGCCTTCCTCTAAAGTGACCCACAACACCCCATGATTAAGCAACAGCTCTGCACGTAATGCAGTCCTATCCCACATGCCTCTTCTCGGAGGTAAGCTGCGCTGCATTCAGTTGGGCTGACTCCAAGGTCAGCAGGTGTGGACGCACCCTATACACGCCCACCCGGCAAGAATAAGGACTTGCTTATTTCTAGAATTTATTTTAAAATTCAGCGTTGTTAAGGCCTGCCCATTTCTTCTCCTGAACCCCAAACTTTTCTGCGCTTCTCCCGATTCCTCTAGGCTTTCATGTTTTACGTACCTCCTTCCTCCTCCTCAGCATAGATTTAAGCTTCTCCCTGATTTGATCCTCAGAGCATTGCACCAGCAAGAACAGAGACATCTGAGAAACCCAAGAGTAAGCCATAAACGCCGAGGTCATCATGGTTGCCTCTAATTTTGAACAGACCAGAAGACTTTTTTTAATGTGACCTCATTGACTTGAGCAGCAAAGAATTATCCGGCGTCCTCTCGTGTTCTGCTTAACAGCCATGCTTTCTTTTGTCTCGCCTTTCCCTGTGCCTGGATTGCCTTCCTGGCCTCACACAAGAAGTTTATTAAAGGAGCACCCCCCCACCCCGCAAATGCTCCTTCCTCCAATTAAACACACCTGCCTGCATTTTGGAAACGTGTGCATTTTGCCTTGCACAATTTTTGAAAGTTGTACCTCTTGCTCAACACAGTTTGCTTGACAGAACATACTGAACACTCTGAAAAGCACAGATTTCCACCTGCAAAGTGTGTTCAGCTCCACATTCAGGTCTGAGTGGTATAAACTGGTTCCAACCGGTGAATTTCTCAGATCCCTCTCCCAGAGGGATACTCAGCACCAGTGCTTTTTTTGTAAAAAAAAAAAAAAAAAAAAGGTGCGGGAACTCAAGTTGCTGCAGGCAGTGAGCACACACACCAGCCCCAAGCAGTTCTCCCTCACTATCAGAGGGCAGACACAATAGCAGCCCGCAGGCACCCTGTTAATGATGTTTGCTGCTGATCTGCTAGCAATCCATTGAAAAACAGGTGGGTGCCTTCTGTGACAAAAAAAGCCCTGCTCAGCACACTAGTCGGTTCCCTTCGTGCCCCCTTTCTTCTGGGCATCACGGTTTAGTCGATTCCAGGCCGGGGGGATGGCCCCGTGCTCCTCTCTGATCTTTCTACGGTGCCTGGCGCAGTGAGCAGCACACAGCACAACGAAGAGTGCAAGGAGCACAGGACCCCGGCAACGCGCACTTCGGTTCGTGCACAGAGCTCTGGGCCTCGCCCCGGGCGCTCGCTCTGCCGCTGCACGGCCTCGGCCTCACCCACGGGATTTTACGGGGGCCCAGAGGAGGGGCTCTTCCAGCTGGAGCCGTGTGGCTTTCGAGCAAAACCGACGCGAGAGCGCGAATGCCCCTTGCCTGGCCAGCTGTGCGGCCTCATCTGGGACAGCTGGGGAGCAGGCAGATGCCTTGCACAGCTCCGCCAATGCAAACCGGCCCCTGCCGCAGGGTGTCCGACCAGCATCCATCGCGGCCGAGGCTGGAAGATGCAGCCAGACCTCTGCAGGGCCACGAACCAGGCCATGTCTCCCCCGCCCCCGCCCGAGGCCCGTTCGCTGCTCGTCGCAGCCCGAAGGTCAACCAGAGTTTTGTTGGAAGTTGATGAAGAGCAGCTGCTGCTTGGTGGGATGAGGCACCATCCAGGAATGAGAGCTTTGCTCCGAGGACCTGGGGAAGATCCCTGACTCAGAGAGAGAAACAACAGCACAAGCCATATCCGCATCCTCACCGCATTGGTGCACTTCCCAGAAGGATCGGGGCTTTCCCTGTGGATCTCTCTTTCTTCCTCCCAGCATAGTAATTCTGCCAGTTATTACACAAGGCCCAGGAAGGTTCACCTTTGACAATGGCCTTCCCAAGGACTGAGGCTCTTACCACATGCGGTTCTGGCAAAGCCAAAGCAAGCGTACTTCTGCCCCAGCGTAGAAAGTTGTGTGTGTCTGCCAACACTCAGTATGTTTTAAAACGGAAGGAAAGGAAGTGTGCAGGCACACGGGCTCATGGCACAGCGTTCCGCTCGCTTTCCTGGCAAACGGCACCTGCCGAAAGGCCAGACTCCGTTGCGTCTGCGTGCCAAGCCGGAAGCGGAAATGCAGAGCCCGGCTGCGTGACACTGCAGGCAGGAGATGCGCCCAGCAGGAAAGGCAGGTAAAGCGCCGGGCCGGGCCGGCCTGTCGAAAAGGGATTCCGCTTGGAAGCAGCACCCAATTCCGGGCTGACGAACGAACGGCGCAGAGCACTAGCCTGGAGGGCAAGAATCAACGCCTGGCCCCTGACCCGAGCACGCGCGGCTTGCAAGAGAAAACACCCAGAGCAGGGGGGGTTACAGGACGGCCAGCGGGGAGGGGGGGGGGGGGGGGGTCCGGTGATGACCTCTTTGGGAGGCCCAGACTCGAATCCTGCACGAAACAAGGCAGAGCATACCTAAAACCGATGGAGCCACGCAAGAGCCTGGCAGTGCTGCTGCTCTTCAGGGCGGCGTGTGCAGGAGTCCTCCTCCTGTTTTGCCCTGTGGGGCTGCAGAGCTGGCTGCCCGCTGACCTACCTTCCAGGGAGCCCAAGCACCAGAGCCAGGCAAATGAGTGCCCCACCGCTTCCACCAGAGGGCGCCCCTGGCTCGGGGACGAGTCGTTCCTTGGGCAGCAGCGCCACCTGCTGCACAAAAGGAGCAGGTGCAGCTCCCTCCCTCAGACTGAGGCACAGATTTTCCGGGGGGGGGGGGCTGCTTTGCTTCAGTGGGGGAGGGGGGCATCTTCCAGTCCCGAAGTACATGCCCACTGCATTGCTAATGAGGTGGCATCCTGTGTTTCCCCACTGGAACACGACTTGGGGTGCCGAAGGGTCACAGCATCCGCCCAACTTCTAAGCCCCCCCCACCCCCAGTCCCAGGGCTGCCCATTGCCAAGGCGAGCGAGGGCAGGGCAAGAAACAGGCAGCCTTGCGACCTTACTGGTAGCCCTTACTACCAGTAGCTGGCCTTAGGAGATGACACCAACCCCTGGGAATGTGCAAAACGGGGGGAAGACACCCAAGGATTGGGGCCAGGACAGCGGGTCACGCCCATCGGAAGAACCCTGCTGCCCAAATCTGGCCCACGGGTCTGCATTTTGACTCCCTGGGCCAGAAGAGTTAGGCCAGCGCGCAAATCCCGCATGCACCGTTGTCTAACTTCTTGCACTGCGGGCTCGCTGCCCCACATGCCTGGCCAGGAGCTGGCATCCGCAGCTGGGAGCGTGCCAGGCGCCGTCTGCAGGGATGGGGCAGGGCTCCTTCGCCTGCGGCACGAGGGCAACCCGGCAGCCTCAGCCAAGGCTCCAAGCCCATTTCAGCGAGCCTTTCCGGCAACGTTCCCTCCCAGTGCCGCTGGACTGAGGCGTCGGCAAGAATGCTCACGGGCCACTCATGGGAAGCAGGCTACCCCGTGGGGACACCCCCGGACCCACCCAAGTGCCCGCGCCTTAAGCCTGGGACCCCTGGACACTCCCTCTGGGCGGAAACCGGGACGAGCAGCGATGTGGTGCCAAAGCGCAACCCCCATCAGCAAAACATAATGCGTGAGAATGTGCCGCTGCAGGTCCTGGTCCCTGCTCCCCTCCCAAGGCTTCACCTGCGGGCTCTCCGTCCGATCCCGAGGCGGTTTTAAGATTTCCTGGTCGACACATCATCAGTCATTGCACCGTACGCACACACACACTCCAGCCAGGCCGTGCAGCAACTGCACTAAAATCTGGGGAAGGTTCCTGTATCTTCAAAATAAATTCCAGCCCTGCAAGTTGAGGCGCCTCATTGTGCTCCCCCTCTAGGTAGTGGGAAGGAGGCCAGGACCAGGCCCGCCAGCGGAGGTGCCGCGCTGGATGCTTCCACCCTCTGCAGTCTTGCAAAAGTGACCTGGTGCGTGCCAGCATTGTTCGCCAGGCCCTTGAGTGGCAAAGTTGCCAAGCACAGCAACCGGGAAGGTAGATTCTCCAGCAGGGCCTTGTTTTCTTTCCGGAGCCCTCGGCAGAGCGTTCCAAAGTCAGAGCACTGTGCCCAGGGGATGACTTGGCTTTGCCGAGCTGAAAAACCCCAAACAAAATGAAGCGCAGGCATGCAAGCCGGTACACATTCTGGTTCAAATCTGTGTGCGTGCACAGAGCTACAACGTACGCGTACAGAAGCAGCGTGCAGAAGGGTGGCCAGTGCGACACGCGGGAAGACGCGGGTGGAGCGGCATCACAGCGACAGCAAAACCCACCCAGCCCCCTTGGCCAGGCGGCAGCTCTTAAAACGGTCAACAGAGAACGGCACACAGCCTCCACCTCACCCCAAAGATAATTACACAGACAAGAACTTTCCAGCAAGCTGAAGATCGTGTGATGGAAGCCACTGTTGCCACGGGCAAGCGGATTCGTGCTTTCAGGTCCTGCTGTCCTCCCGAGCAAACAGGTTTTGTTGGTTTCCAAAGCACCCCCTCCCTGCCCAAAAAGGAAAACCTGTTTAACCAGAGACAACAGCTGGGCTGTGCGGGCGCACAAGGCGCCAGATCTCCTTTCCCACAGCACTTCCAATTCTCCAAGAAACCCATTGTCTCGTTCCAGGCTTCTGCGGAAGCAATACATTTCAGTGGGGCAGGGCTAAACGCACGGGGTCCCCAGTCCTCTTCGGGGGGCTTTGTGGAAGCACTGACAGGGCAGCTCCCTTCCAGTCACTCATAGCAGACGCGGAGAGTCCCGCGTGCCAAGCAGCTGTTCAAGGTTCTCCCTCGGCCTCCCGTGATCACGCTCCCCAGCACTGCCTCTTCCGGGCACCCTGCTTCCTGCAGGGCTCTGGGTGTGCAGGCGGCAGAGGAACGGGCGCAAGGGCAGTCACGACAGGACCATGGTGCGGAGCTGGCCTTTGCTGAAAAATGAGCTGGAAAGCTGGGAGGGAGGGAGGGACCAGTTGCTCCCCAGCCTACCTGAGCGTTTCGAAGTTTAACAGAGGCAGGGATGCCGGGCTGAGGAAAAAGGTACCTGCCCTGAACAAACCAGGTGGGCCAAAGCGAGGAGCATCTGCGGAGGAGGCGGGGCAGAGGTGGAGCTGGAAGTGAGGGCTCACTTCAGGAAGGGCCGCTCTTAGGTCCGGGCTTGGAACTTCCCGGCCTTGGTCATGTATTTGATTCCCTTGAAAGGCTTGTACTTCTCTCCGTACATGTCTAGGCGATTCACTTTCAAACCTAGGAAGACAGAAAGGGCAGAGAGAGAGGCTGGCGGCGAGCGGCAGAAGACGATGCGGGAGATTCTTTCCGACTGTGGAACTTGGGAGTTTGGGGAGGGCAAAACTGGGGCTGCTGAGGCCAGTTAAGGAAGCCTGCACAGATGCGTTTCCAGATGGGGGTGGGCTGATTCCCTACTCTCGAGAACCATGCATTTCACTCTCTTCTCACACGCTTCCCCCAGAGCATCAAGATCACGCAAGGAGGCCCTGCTCAAATACCCTCGCCCCTAAACCCTGGCCGGCAGCCAAGAACAGTGCTTCCTGGACGGCGACCCTCCTGTTGCAAGATGCTTCCCCAGGAAGGCTCGCCTTGTTTGCCCAGGAGCCTCCTTTTGGGATGGGCGTTGAGATGGATGCACTTATTCAAGGGCTTATTCGTTTGAAAAGCGGGGCTCCTGAGGCCACGCGTGACAGTGACAGAAACAAGCCAAGGCTTGTGTGGCTGCTGCACCCTCTCCTGCTCTGCGGATACAATCACCAGATCAGAGGCCACGGACCGGAGATGGCCAGCTGCTGAATTTTGAACTGCAGGTTGATGGTGGGGTTCTCGTCAGGTTTGGAGGCTCCCGCCTGGAGGCTCATCGTCCCCTTCAGACTTGGCAGCTTTTGAGGGTTGATCTTGCCCACGTCCCAAGACAGCAACTTTGGAGGCGGAGGGATGGAAAGAAAGAGAGAAAGCAGAACCGAGGTACGTCAGAAGAACAGGCAAGATGCTGGGTGAGGGCAAAGGACGTGTCCGCTTGATTCAACAGGCTTGGAGACCTTTCTTCCCAAAATCTGCTTGCCACCCAAGCAACAAATGCCCTTCGGAGAGTTTATAATCATTTTAAAAAGCCAGAAATCCTGGCATAACAATAAAACCACCAAACCATAAGCACAGCCGTGAAAGCATCCAAGCAGTGAAAACGGAACGAATGGCCAAGAGCACCGGATTAGCAAGGAAGGACTTGCTAGGAGAGGGAGCCCTTGACAGGCACCCGGTGACGGCAGTCCCTTTCCTGTGATGGGTCGGGGGACTGCGAAGAAGGCTCTTTCCCGGGCATCTGCCCACCACTGGGGGGGTGGGGGGCAGCAACTAGAGGGGACGTCGAAGAAGCGCTTGACCACCGGGCAGCAGCCGGGCGACGCCAAAGCACCGGCGAGGGGCTGCCGCTCGGAGCCGTGGGGAAGGAGGAGCAGAGCGGGGCTGGGCGGGGCGGGTCAGCCCGGGGGCAGACCTCGCGGCTCCCTCCCCACGCGACTCTCACCTTGGTGACGGGGTCGAAGGTGTGGGTCCCCTGCGAGGGCGTGAGGGTCATGTTGAGGACGCCCTTCGGCATCTGGCTGGTGACCGTCACCCCTTCTATGGTCTTGCCCATCGTCTGCTTGGGCCCCACGGTGATCTCGAAGCGGCCCAGGGAGCTGCTGTCCCGGAAGCTGATGTTGTGCTTCACGTAGACGGGAATGGCCACCAAGCTGGAAGAGAGCGGAGGTCCCCGTGCCACCACTCCCATCATCCCCCACTGCTGGCTACCGCCAGAAGAAGCTGCAGTTCAGCGACCTCGGAAGGACTGCCGTGCTCCCCAGCCCCGACGGCCATGACAGCCCATGGCCAGGGGGGCAGAAGGCAGGTATCCAAGCTCTGGCTTGAGCTGGTGGGGCAGGCAGAGTCCTCTCCGTTCTCCCTGCACGCTGGGCAGGAAAGCGGCCAGGCTCAGGGGGCCTCTGGCCAGCGCAGGCCCCGCCTGAGAAATGCGCTCGCTTCCTCGGGGGGAGGGCTTGATGAGGACGGGGGCCGGACGCAGGCCGCTGCGCCTCCTAGGATGCAGCCAGGATGCCGTGCGGCTGGCTCCCTTTTGCAACCCCGTTTTCCGGGTAAGGGGAAAAAATGCAAGAGGCTCCCCGGCCCAGCTCTCACTTCTGTGCGCTGACATGATAGGAAAGCAGGCGGAAGTTCCCGTCTGGAGGGATGAAGGAGAGGATGCGCTCAGATTCCCAGCGCTTGAAACGCACACAGGGGTGGAAGCTGACGTCGTCCAGGAGCCTGGGGTTCTGACAGAAGAAAGAGGATCGGCTGAGGCCACACAGACGCTCAGTCACACTCTGCCCCCCATCACCCCAAAGCCTTTCTAACAGGAAACCGAATGGCCTTTCCCTCCTCCTGCACCCACTCCCTCCAAACACCCCAAATGCCTTAGTGGGGCTAAAGTACTGGCATGCAGAGTGCCTGGTTTGTTTGTTTGTTTGTTCGTTTGTCTCTCTCTCTCTCTCTCTCTCTCTCTCTCTCTCTCTTTCTAACCCTTCTTTCCTTTGCAGCCTCCTGAAACAACCCACAAACAACCCATGGTTCTAGGGTTGCACATGACAATAATCCATGGTTAAAACAAGCCACTGTTTACAACCCGAGGAGAAACCATGGGTTCTCTTCTCAGGTTGTTCCTGGTAAACAAACTATGATTTGTAAGCACGGTCACATTCACTCATTGCAACAACCCAGAATTTAACCACTCATGCCAGACTCGTGTCTCCCATTTCCAGCCCAATGCCTCTTTTCAGGAGACTGCACCATGTTTCTCGCTCAGTGACACATCTCAGCCTTCGCCCTCTCACCTTCCTCATGGCCACCTCTTCCCTACGGCCCTCAATCCCCATTCTGGAGGTACAAGAAACCCCCTCAATTGTTTCATATTTCACACGTGCCATCCTGAGAGTTTTAGACTGAAGCGTGACACAGATGTTTCTCGCAAAACAGACACCACAAACAATATTTACCATGAAGGAGAGTGTGAGGTCCGGCATCCCCGTCAACTTCACGCAAGCGTCAATCACCCCTTGGATTTCAGCAGTGATTGTGGAGCCTGCGCAGAAAAGCCAGAGTTGCGAGGTGTTGTGACCCGCCGGGAGAACTTCAACTACTGGGCAGTGTGGGAATTCAAACTGCCACCAGCAGGAGGAGGCCGGGGCCTCCAAGGGCAGCTTTCTCACTACCTTCTTATTTTAAAAAGCAGAGACTGCTTTCTAAGTCACCCTGGGAAAGCGCTATATAAAGAAAGAAAGAAAGGAAAGGGGCGGGGAGACTGTGCCATGGCCAACCGCACGGTGAGCAACAGACGCGGCAAGCCACTTTATCTGGGGCCACGGGGCCCCGAGGAGACGTTGTGGGAATCCGGCACCCTGTACCCGATTTGTCAATGATCGCATCGATCTCTTCGATCACGTCAAAGTAGGCCTCGTTGTTGGTGTACTTCACCCCGGTCCGTCGCCAGGGGACCACCGACAGTTGGCCCGTGGGCAGCTGTTCCCCTACGTTGGTGCTGCCTGCGAAGACCAAGAGGGCAGGGAGTCAGGGAGGGGCAAGCCAGTCCCAGTTCCAGACCGGGGACCGCCCTGTGCATGCCCAGACAGAAGGCAGCCCTGCCGTTCCCAGCGTGCCCCAGCCGGCACAGCGCCCAGCCACAAGAACGCAGGACCCGGCCTCGCGGGGCGCGCAGACAGGTCGGGCTGCTCCCATCAGGACGACGTTAGACCAGCAGGCCAGCCGCAACAGGCGTTAGTCCGGACCAGCGAGGCACAGGGCCTTTTGCTCGTCTGGCTCCGGCTGGCGGCCCCTTTGATGAGTCTCAGCCGCCAGAACCAGATGGAAATGGTTTCATTTGCCCAGGCCTTTCCACACAAGGTGGGCAGCTTCTGCGGCAGCTGCTTTTCGCATCTGGTTGCGTTCTTGCCTACTCTCTACTGCTTTCTCAGTTTTTTCCCTGGCCTGGCCTGGCACAGAGCTCTTGGGCTTCCTGGTGCTGGGCGGATTTTCACTGGCACACTGCTTCGCAGCAGCATTTTATTGAGCGGTGGGGCGAGAGAGACCGGATGGACTGAAATAAACAGCCAAGTTAAAGCTTGCATTGTCTTCCCTCTGAGCATGCAGGTGGTCAGCCCCACAGTGTCCAATCCTGTGCTTACTCAGAAGTAAGTCCCATTTGGTTCAACGGGGCTTCCTTCCAAGGAGGCAAACACAGGATCCCTCCCTCCGGCACAGACTCAGACCTGTGATGGTGTTGACAACCGTTCGCAAGATCGTTGGTGGCTTGATCAGCTCCTTCAGGATGTTGGACTCGGTGGCCAAGGGGAACCCGTTGTCCAGCATCTCCTCCAGCACCTCGTACACCACCACGACGTTGTCCTTGATGACCACCTCGGAGCAGACGCCAAAATAATCCTGGGTGGGCAAAGAAGGCGCATCGGTCCCCTCCTAGCAAGAACGGGCGCCGACAGAGGCGGGCAGAGATTCCCAGCTGCCCCCCGGAGACGCGGGGGAACGAAAGGCACAGGGGGCTCTTGTGAGGGGCTGCTCTGGGGGCCGACGGGAAGCGGCGTCGCAGTGGCAGTGCGAGGGCTGGGCAGGGCTCAGTCTGGAGAAAGCGCTCCAGCACAGGCCCAGCTGCGACGCCTCAACCGGGCGCTGCAGACGGCCGATGCCTGCAACCCACCCAAAGCTCAGAGGGCCCATTTCCACAGCAGCAGTGAGCATCACGGCGGAAGCCTGGGGCTCCCCGTCAGATCCACACTTGGCCACCGAGCGAGCGAGCGAGCGAGCGAGCCGGGTGGCCTTGGGCTGGCGTGCATCCCTTCCTCCGCAGGACTGTTTCCAGGCAAAGTGGGGGAGAGGAGACCCGCACGCACCACCTTGCAAGCTTCGGCAAGCAAGTGCGGGACAGACACGTAATAAATCGGAGGACATATTCAGATCCTTTTAATTTCAAGGACTTCCGCCAGCAGGGAGCATCACGCAGCCCCCGGCCCCACGCTCGGGCCGCCTTCCTGTCTCCGTCTGCCAAGTGGGGTACAAGTGGCGGCCCTTGTCTTAAAACGGCCAGCAAGCCGGAGGTCGCTGGAGGAGAGCGCAGGGCGCATGAATAATGCAGTCGCTGCTGGCAGGCAAGCAGCGCTGACACCGCTGCCCTCGTCCGGTTGGTTGCACCACTCAAATTCCACAGTATCTTCTTACACACCAGCTGGGCTGCAGCTAGAAATCTGCGGGGAGGGTGGCGTTTGGGGGCCCCTGAGAAAACCGGGTGCAGTGGGGGCGCACTGTAAGGCAAAGCAGGAGGAGAGAGGCGTAAACACGGGGGTGCACTCTAGTGTTTGAAAGAACGCCTGCGGGAGATGCGGCTCGTCTTGGAGTGCGGGGCCAGCAGCATTAAAACAGGGAGAAAGGTGCCTGGTTTCAAGCTGCAGGACGCCGTGGCCAGGCTGGCGGACGCAAGACGGGCGCCTGCTAGCTGCCTGCACGTTTTTCTGGATCCGTTTAAGCCAAAGGTGCAGAAAGTGGACCTGAGACGCCCGACACCCTACGCCTTCTCTGGCAGCCCCAGGGCCGGCCAGCTGCAGTGGAACAGAGGAGGGAAGGGGCAACCATTCTAGGAGTAGGCTCCGGGTGTCCCTGGACCATGCAGGAAAGCAGTTCTTGCAGGTTCCCGCCAGCCTTCTGCCCTGGAGAACCTGAAAACCTATTTAAAGAACACCCCCACCCCCACACACAACTCTCTGGCACTCTGGTTTGGGACTTGGTGGTTCCTAATCATGGTGCACCGTGACAACATGCAGACTCTAGAACAAGGTTCTAGTCCTCATGCCAAAGTACTTAAAGTACGCATGTGGTCTAAATTTTGTTCTTTTCCCCACTCATCTCAGCCCCTTCTCAGCCCTCCCCACCCCAGCTTTCTTTCCCGTCATGCTGTTACCTGTCAATGTACTTTTTCAACACTTACAGTGAAGAAATCCACAACTAAGTTCCAATACCAAGGAGAGCGACTACCCTCCTTCTTCCAAATCCTCATGAGCTGAATTGTTTAAAAGGCAATGATTTTGCAACAGTCAGAGAACTACCTCATAGGGTTGTTGTTGAGAGGACAAAGCGGAGGAGAGGTTATACAACTTGCCTTGGATTCCTCGATGGGATATAAGTATTATATATACTTATTATAAGTATATAATTATATATATATTATAAGAGGAAATAAAATATTATATATCATATTATATATGGTATGTGATATGTGATGTTTATATTATATAAGCTATGTATGTCTGTGTAATATATATAATTATATATGCAATTTATATATAATTTTATATCTATATCTATGAAACATTAATTGACTGGGCCCATGTGCAGGTCTGAGTCATGTGATATTTCAGAAATTGCGGCTACAGAAGCACAAACCATGAGAAAGAATAATGCGTATTCCTGCTGGATATGTTCCAGCGTTCCCTGCTCCGGCATTCCCACAGCTGAATAGGGCGAAGCCCCCAAGGAACCCAGCCGGGAGTCAACCGCCCGGCCGCTCCCCGGAGGCCATGTGACGAGATGCTGCAGTGGCGTGGGGTAACTTTTCTCCCACACCGGGAGTCTGGAGGAGTGTTTTTCTGAGGGGAAATGGCACGCAGGAGAAAGGGTTAAATCCCCTTCGCCCCACCTCTTGGTCCTAATGTAGCCCCCCCCCCCCGAAATGAGGGGGAGAGAGGGAGCGAGACCAACCCTCTGCAAGCACATGTCAGCATCACATGCTCCTTGGCCCTTTCCCAGAGGGGAACCGCTCGGTCCCATGACGGGCCGGCCTCCGGAGGAATGCCGCAGCTTCCTTCCCCGTCCTTTTGTCCCCGGATCTCCTGCCTCGTGCCGGCCCAAGCATTTCAGCGCCTCGGGTGGAGAGCTCAAACGCTCCTTGCCATCAGGAAGAAACCCAAAAATAATGCAGAACTGCCACCTTCCTGGGAAGAAATCCCCTTCATGGCAAAGGCGGCCCTTGGCCAGCGGAGCGCGAGTGGCTCAATCCGCTTCCGCCCCGTCCCACCCGTGACCCATTTTTGGCCCAAGGGCCGCCCTTGCACCGGGACGGGGACATAACTTTGCACCCCCGGATTCTACCACGTTACAATCAGTCTGGCTCATTCGTGTTTGCCTGCACCAGCTTTCTCCAAGCAGGCACCCCCAGATCTGTTGGACTACAACTCCCATAATCCCCAGCCAAGCAGGAGTACAAACCATGTGCTTGGACAGGCAGCAGCTCCCCAAGGCTGCGGACAGAAAGCCTTTCTCAATCTCACCTGGACATTTGGAGGACTGACCCTGGTACGCCCACCCTGCAGGGCTGGAAGGCAGGGAGGTGCTGGGGGAGCGTGCGGTGGACTGAGCAGCCTGCCCCAGGCCTCCCGCGTTAGCCTGCTGCCTGCAGGTGCGAGGCGGGATGCGGTCCCGCTACCACTGCCGAAGGAAGAGTCAACGGCCGGTCCTTTCGGCTTCCGCACACGGACCAGGCAGCCTCGGCTTGCCTCTTGCCTCGGGCGGCCAAAGCCCTGGGGCGGCCCTGCTTCCCTTTAACACAAGGCTGTCCCAAGCCGGACTTTCGGTCCATCTACCCCAGTATCGCCAGCTCTGGCGGCAGCTCTCAGGGTGCCAAGCAGAGCTCTTCCGTCTAACTGCCTGCCTGGTCTTTGCACTGGAGCTGCAGGGGCTGCACCTGGAATCATGGCCTCGTGCAGCAATGCGTGGGCTTGGCTGCCCTACATCACGGGGTCACTGCAAGGATAAAGCAGGAAAACGGATACATGGGAAAGGAGGAATGATCCAATTCTGCTGCACTCCCGTCTGTCTTCACGCTTTGATCCTGGGCTTAAAATGCAAGGTCGGACAAGCCCTCAGGCACGTCACGCATTCCTGCAAGCAGAGTTCGAAGGGGACACACAGGCTGTTCTCCCAGAAGTAACAGACTGGATACGCACAGCCGGAATGGCGGCAACTTCCCCCTGAACCAACAACAGCTATTTCTCCAGGCTGGGAAGGCGTCATCTCAGAAGGCAGCTTGCATGCGAGTAAACTAATTCGGAATGAGCCAACTCAGACTGGAAAAGGAAGCAAAATGTCCTCCAGGTAAAAGAGGAAGACATTTACCTGTCTGACTTTCATTTTCATGTGCCTTGTGCATTACAAAGCCAAACCAAGCCACATCTTGAAGAAAAGATAAACTAAAATATTACAGCATTTTGGGTAAGATTTTAGAAGGATCCCTAGGATATCTCTCCCTGTTTGTTAGTATATAATGCAGCACGTGCGTGTTGTTAAAAATAGCTATGCATAAGCTTCGACAAAGGCAGCCTAATATCCATATAATTATTCATTTGTAAATTGAGCTGAAAAGCCACCCATTCAAAGACTGAAAATTTCATTAAACCCTCCACCCACAATCCATTGTAGGTGACCATTGATGCTTCCAGTATTGCAATATTAGTCTTTTAGCTATCAAAAGGACATGGGAAATCCATTTACACTGACCTTGTGTTCAATTCCAGGAGATGGGCAAGAGAAACCTTGCCAAGACAAATGAAGGCAAGAAGCATCTGCTGCGGTACACCTCTGACGATTGGCTGATTTAATTAAGCCCTTATCAAAAAGATGCTGTGTTGTACAGTACCCCTGAAACATTAATTTTTGCTGGACCGAACGGAGCCCAAGGTCTGTGCCTCCCTCTGAAACGGGACTGGCCGAGAGGGGGTGTTCCCGGTCATTATCCCATTCTTGGGTGAAGCCCTGTGTCATATTTATTCACTGATAATAGATATTTATACACATGAATTGTAGGGCAATGAAGCTTTTCAGCCTCAATCGATGCTTCTAATAACACAAGAGGCTCTGAAGCTGTGAAACCAGCATGACCAACGCTGGATACAAAGAAATGCTTTAGGTGTGTATATTGCCAGGCAAATGTGACTGGCCATTGGGAATTGGCATGCGAAGTGGAAAATGGCAAAAAATTATCTGCACCGGCAAGCAGATCCAAAGGAAAAATTAGCCTGTATGTCCAAGTCCGTCAAATGAACTTTTTCTTGCTGATCTTTAAGCCCAGATTTCCCCATAACGGAAATGTTGCATGTGAAAATAGGTCAAGCGGCAATGAATGAGACAATAGACGCCCCACACCTGTAGCTGCTGCAACCGCACAGAGTGCATCACCGTTCTGATATAAATCTGATTGCGAAGAGGATCCAGAAATGAAGATGCAAAAACTGAGCAGAGAGAGATTTCTAGAAAAACCAAAATGTAATGCAAGTCAACAGTCAGTCCTGATCTAAGGGAAGATCTGGGGACCAAATCCACCCTCTTTGATGCAAAGTTGTACCCTTTTCAAGGATCTTCATGATGCAACAGAACCCCATAAAATTTACCTAACAAAACTTTGCTTCTGGAAATACTTGCCAGGTATAAATAGAGGGATACCACATAAAACACAAACAATTTGGGGTATGGTATTCATTCTAAGTGTATCAACACTAACCCATAGATGTTTACTTTTTTATTGTGCATACACCCCTTTGAACTACACCATTAAAAAAGGAATAAAAATGAAACAATAAAAACCTAAACTTTAATCTGTCAATGTCCCTTGAGATCTTATTTATCAACTTCCTCAAATGAAACTTAATCATTTCCCAAGAGATACATATTTCCTAGTAAGTAATAAACTCAGCACGGAGTCTAAATTGCTTGCCCATTAACACTCCGCGGGTTATATTCTCTCACTGCAATATAAAGTCAGTTCTGACTTTAATCAGTTAATGGAATAACCAGATAAATATTCAAAATTGTGACTGTCTGCATCAAAGCCGAAAAATATGTCCAGAGGTCCAAGGTAAACAACAGAAGATCATCAGCATAACACCCCCACCCCAGTTCATATGCTAACATGTAATGCACAAATTGTAGGATTTTGTCAAACAGCACATGCTGGTTGTTCCAAAGGGAGAGAAAGGGATTTCTAAAGGATGACATCATATCAAACAGATGGAAGCAAAGAGACCCTGGGATGGGATACAGCTCAGATGCAGAGTACACTCTTGGTGTCTTGCAGGCATCATCTGTTCAAGTGGAACGGACCCTACCTGAGATCCACTCAGAATTCACCGCACGGGACTAAAAGACCTAACAGGCTCTCTCTGACTCAGCCACTTCTGAAATGCATGTGTATCAGAAATAGATGGTTAGGATTTTGGAGACTCAGCTGTAAGTCATGGATGTAGACCAAAGTTGGACTTCCTGGCATTCCAACCTGGACCGCAACAGTTCCCAAGTACCACTATCCCTCAGCTCCCCAGCAATTTCCTGGCTTTTGTGCCATTTCCCCACTCTGAAAATTTGAACTGTCCCTCCTGAGACTGCTAGCAAAAACTTTAAGCTAAAAGATGCTGATATTCTTACTCTTTCGACTCTGTCCCCTTTGCCTTCAGCCCCACAGATCACTCGAATATGGTCCTCGGAAGCTTCGCGGAAACGGACTTGAGCCCTCAGCCTGAAAGAGGCTGAATTCCCCGGCCTCAGGTTTAAATCAAGGCTGTAGTCTTGGGGGCTGTGTGCAACCTTTGGGCACCCCCGTTGGGCGGGCAGCATTCTATCCAGGGCAGAAAAGGCACTTGCTTGCCTTCTGAGATCACTGTTTACTGAAGTAGAGGAGAAACGGCCATCTTGAGAGCAGTTGCTCTTCTCCTTGCCCCCAAAGCAAGCGCTAAGATTTCCGCAGGCAGGGAGTGGAGCTCTAAACTTGCCCATCTGTGCGTTTGCAGACATGTTTGCTCTGGGGAGGAAAAGCGCACGCCCCAGCCCTCAGCTGAGGGTTCTATTGTGTTGCATTAAATGTTTCTGCTTCTTTTTTTAGAAAGGGGGTTGTATTCTCACAACCTGCTAAGCGGGCATAGTTATAGGTTGCAAGGATCCAGCAACGTTCTTCTGCTCAGACTGCTAGTGAGGGGGCTAGAAGGGGAGGTGGGTAATGGAGCAACAACAGGAAGTTGAAAGAGCAATGAAGGAGACAGGAGGCAGCATGGCTGGATTGTAAAACCTGGTAAATAAATAAATCTGTGATTCCAGATGAAATTGCATAGTATTACACAGGATTATGTAACAATAGGCTGCTCCTAGCATTAGGGGGGATGTGGGGAATGGAGTGAGGTGGGAAGCAAGAATGGGGTGTTGGAGGACAGGGCTGCGTGGGGTGTGGGGGGCTGCCCCATGGACAACTGGGTTGGCTTCCGTGATGCAGTGCTAGTGGGGGTCGGGCAACTTGTCCTTTGCCTCATGCAGCAAAATGTTTTGGGCCCCTCGTGGCTCGCATGGACGAGGTGAGGAAGACTAAGCTGTCAATGGCAGCAAGTATAGGCAGAATCATTCGTTCGAGCAACGATTACCAACAGTGGGAAACAAGCCCGTTTTCCGTGTTTAGGGCAAACAGCCTATCATCCCATTTTTCAATACATTCCAGTCTAGCACTTGACTACAAGCAACTATAGTTCTAGTATTTCCCTTTTAACCCCTGGGGAAAACAAAATACCCCGACTTCTTCCAGCCAAACTTGCAAGTTTGAGTGTGCTTTTCAATAACCTGTGAGCTCTGAGCTTCTTATTTATTTTATTTATCAAAAGCATTTCTACTCACATCCTTTACCGAGGGCTCAGGACAGCTGCTTACCAACACGCGAGCTGTTCCTGCAATGCCTTGCAACTGGTTGCACTGACCTGTTGCATGTTAAGGACCACGAAAAAACATCCAGTGTGAATGGATCCCAAAGCGCCACAACATTTCACCTACCTGAAAAGTGTCCACAACTCGATGAAGGAATTCAATGACAAAAAGGGGCGGCACCTCCGTCTGGATCACAGCCACGAAGAAGATCTTGTGCCGATAAACACTTAGGAGGTAGTGGTGCGGGGTGGAGATTACGGGGGGCACATTCTCTGCCTCCGAAGCTCGCTCCTGCGCCTCGAAGAAGTAGTCGCAAACCGAGCGGCTGACCACGCTCTTCCAGTGCTTCTCCAGGAAGATGTCTCCGGACGAGTTGATCAGGAACAGGCTGTGAATCATGGCTGCCCCGAAGCCGTGGCCACCTCGCCCAACGAAGACGGAGCTCCTCTCTGGTACTTCGGGTCTAAACGTTAACGGCATGCATTCTTGCGGTCACGGCAAGCCTGCGCTGTGGCCAGACCCCCTTGCTCCTCTTCTCAGAACGCATTCCACCCAGCCACCGCGGCATGAGGTTTCGGCAAGGGGCGGCATAGAAATGTTATAATAATAATAATATAATAATAATAATTTCTGCTATTCCCAGCTCATCCACCTCTCGCTGCAACCCACACCTTTCCAGAATTGTTCCTTGAACTAATTCATTTTTCTTCTCCACCAGGAAGGAAGCGCCTGGCTGGACCAGCCCGAGGCTCCATCCGGACCAGCATTCTATTCCCGCAGTGGCTGGCCAGTGGAGCACCACCTTGCCCAAGTTCCCCAGCAACTGGTGCACCCTGGACTCTAGGATTAAGGCAGGGGGGGAACGGCCTCCCCTTTTCCCACATCGAGCAAGTGCCGTAGGCCTCTACCCTCTCTCCATTCACGTGCCTTTCCTCCAAGCCAAGCTCCCCGGCTGCAACTGACCACTGGCATTCAAGGTGGCCAAGTGCCAGGCTTTGCACTTGGGACGCAGGAACAGGTGGCCACTGGTACAGGATGGGGACAAGTGCCTGGAGAGCAGCACTTGTGGAAGGGATCCCAGGGTACGTGTCAACAGCAGGCTGGACATGAGCCCGTGTGACGTGGCGGTCAAGAGGGCAAACGCCACCTCGGACGTATAGCCGGCAGCAGGTGCTGATACCGCTGCACAAGACTCTGGTGCACCCACGGCTGGAGTATTGCAGCCAGTTCTGGGCTCCACATTATCGGAGACACACAGCTAGGGCAGAATTGGATCAGTGCTGGGTCACGAGAATGGCAGCCAGATTGGAAGGGAGGGCATATGAGGGGGACTGAGGGAACTGGGTCTTTCCAGCCTGGAGAAGAGGAGACTCCGAGGGGATCTTTTAGCAACTTGTAGGCATGTGAGGGGGTGTCATGGAGGAGAGCCGTTTGCTGCTCTCCCCTGCAGAGGAGGGCAGGACTCATTCCAATGGGGCAAAGCTCAAGGAGCCAGGCTTTGGGTCGGATGTCAGAAGGGCTTCCCGGACCCCTGGGGCATGGAATGGGCTTCCGAGGGAGGCGGAGGAGGCCCCATCAGGGAGGGTGTTCAAGGAAAGAGTGGACAACCACATGTTGGGGACTGCATGAGCGGAGCCGGCTGAAGCTGGCGGTCAGTCTAGATGGCTCAGGAGGCCCCTTCCGACTAGCTTTGTTCCTGTGTTTCCTTTATTTCATGCACAGGCACAGGAAGCGACTGGGGGAAGGCACGGCTGGGCACCCAGTGGCGGCCCACCAACCCAAGTCCCGGAGCCGGGCCTTCATCTTTGCTGCCTGCTTGCTCGGCTAGATTGCAGTGGAGCCGAGAGGACGCCTGGCCCTCTGCCTGCCCCATGAGAAAGTGGTAGTCAGGATCCGGGTGAGGAAGAGGAGGAAGGGTGGCTGGGGCCATGGCAAGGAGAAGGGGACTCGAGGGACCCTTGCCTCAACGGCTCTCGGACAGCTGGGCTAGCAGGGCGAGCAGGCTGGCTGGAGTCAAGCCAAGAGAGCTGCTGTGCGACCGACCGAGAGCTGGTCCCCCCGGAGCCAGAATTCCAGCAGAGAGAGCACCACTGAGGCTTGCAGGTGTTGAGGAAGCATTAACATAACGAGGCTGCAGCTGTGAGAGCCCCTATGGAGAGAAAAATGCAGCCGCAGCAATTGCAAACGGGGCCGTAGGTTTTCTGCGTGCACCAAGGCCACACAGCAGCGCACACAAACACGCTAAGGGAGCAACCCTCGGCGGGGTTATTTTAGGGGCTTCTTTTCTTTCTCTTTTTCTTCTTCTTTGTCCAAACAGCTTAGAATTGTGCCCTACGAAAATCAGTGAGGCCTTGCGAGTGTCGACTGCCTCAGAGACAGCTCGCGACAACACCAGCCCTAAAACTACTCTGAATATCCCACAAATGCACAGTGCTTTTCATGGTGCTGCACTGCATTTTTGGAGATAATTCCCACCTAGGATGCCAGAGCTGTAATTTTTTGGAAGCAATAGGAGCCTGTTCTGCTTGACAGCTGAGATGACACAACCGGGTTATTCAGAATGTAATGATACTGTTTTGTTTTGACTTGTGGCCATTAAAAAATGGTATCCGCACACATTGACTAGAATCACAGACAGAGGCAAACTGTGGCTTAATGGCACGCTGGGTTCCAGCCTGAGAGCGGCTAAGGGTGGGAACAACTTACGCTTCTCCCAGCTCTGAGCTGGGTTGGGCAACCCAGACTTAGGGTCTTTATGTGTCTGAAAAGGAGAAAACAGGGGAAAATGGGGCTTTGGATATCTGACAATTGTTGATGCCACGAGCCAGTTCACAGGTAACCCATGCTAGGTGGTTTTGTGATTAACTCTGGGTTGCTTGATTGAAGATTTGAAAGTGGGTTAAGTCTGGACTGCTAATCCAGCTCAGAGTCAGGGAAGAGAAAAAGGGAACTGCCACTCGGGTGTGATGCAGCCAGCCACTGCCCCTCTCTCCGCAGCTTCAGCAGGCCTGTGGCAAACGCACGGATGGGTGCGTAAGTCCTGGACTCCTGTTTATTTCTTCCCCTGTACTCTCCCTAGCCGGCCACCCCGCTCCCCGAATCTTCTCTGCTGCAGTACTTCCATTTTCTCACCACTACTCCAAACCACCCCTTGCTTGCACCCAAACCTTTCAGTACTGTTCTGTTAACTCCTCCTCCATCCCATAATGATGCCCCTTAGGATTTTAGCCCTCCCCATTGCAACAGGTCCATGTGACACAGGACACTAATCTTTAAGCAATAATGCCTGCAGTTTCTGCCACTCCAGATTCCTAACCCAATAGCAGGGCACGAGACTTGTGATCCCCCCTGTCCTCATGGAGATTCTGTTCCCCTGTCCAGACAGGCAAATTGTGGATCTCTCAAGCGCTTCCTCTTAGAACTCTCCGTACTGCAAAATCAGAGCTGACTCACATCAGATGCCCATATCTTGGCATGCCTAAGCATTCTTATCTCTGTCCCCACCCTTTTTTCTCCTCTGGACCACTGTATCTGAGTAGCACAAGGAATTTTGGCACCCCTGTGAACTCAGACCTAGATTAGGAATGCTGAAAGCCAAGAGGGGAACACGCTATGTGACTAGAAAGAAGAAAGAGAAGCTGGAAACAAGATACAGAAGCGCAACACAGAAGAGGAGGAAAGGTGACAGAGTCCCTCAGACAAGAATCCTGTGAGGAAAGGCCTGAAACATTAGAAAGGGAAGGGAAAGCTGCTCTGAAAATGCTGGAACGGACAAAGCACCCCCACCGGACAGGGAACCAACAGAACCGTTCCAAGCTGCAGAGAGTGAATCGGTCTCAATCCAACAAGAATGTTCCAGCAGATACGGACAACAAAACAATGGTCCAGAGACTGGAAGTGATGCCATATTGTGGACAGAAAGCAGCAACAAATTGAAAAGACTCCTTGTGGAAACGAAAAAAGAAAGTGCAAAGCAGAACTGCCGCTGAACATTCAGAAAACAGAAGAAGAATTGAGCAACTTAACTGTCTACAGTGGAGAAAGAGAAATTGTGAAAGCATTTTGCACACTCTGGCCCAGTAATTTCTTCAAATGAGGCCGTGGCCAAGAAATTCGAAGAAGATTGCAACATGGAGGGACACCAATGAAGGGATTGGAAAGGATAATCAAGCAGAAGGACGTTTCACGAAGGATGAGATGCTCCACACTGTTGTCTTCCCAATCGCTACGTTTGGGTGTGAAAGACGGGCAGCGGACAAAGCTGCAGAAAACTCGTGCACTTGAAACATGGTGCTGGCGAAGACGATCATGCTAGGGAAAGCAGGGGAGGGGGGGCCTGGGTGTGAGAGGGATCCTTTCCATCCAGGGAGCCCCAGGCTTGCATTTCCAAAAGCTGAGCTAGGCTGCGAAGGACAGGACATTTAGGAGGGTGCACATCCACAGGGGTGCCAGAAGTTGGAGATGGTTTGATCCTAACAAAACATACTTCCCCACTCCAGTCTCCTCTGCTGCTAAATCCAGAGCACTAATGCGACCTTGCTCTTGAGCAGCCCCATCACCACACCGTCCTTGGCTGACCACCTGAAGAATCTGCACCCCTCTACGTACACCAAAGCTTCCTTTCACGGAACCCCGGGACCTACGGCCTTGATCTGCACTTCACCTTCCCAGCCCCCTCCCCCGGCACCCTGCCCATTCCCGTCACAACCCCATAGATCAAACCAGGCTGGGACATGGATCTGAACCGAATCTCTTTACTCTCAAGTGTCCCTCCGTGCATGTCCAGACCACGAATGCAGCCTCCGCAGGCTGGTGCTGCAAGCCTGTCGGACGGCCCCCATGAGGTTCCACGTACATCTCCTGACCGTCACATTATGTCCCATCCTAAAACACCCCATTATCCCACAACCTTCTAGACCCACAGCAGCCAAACCCCGGACCCATACCCAGCTCATGGGGTTCTCTGCAAAGATCCCCACAAAGAGCTGATATAGTTGGACGGGGGCCCTGGGAGAGCCAAGCTCACGGGGTGACTCTGGACCACTCGTGGCCCCTCAGCCTAACCCACCTCACAGGGCTGTTGTGAGGATAAAGATGGAGAGGAGAACCATGTCTTGGGTTCCTTGCTAGAGAAAAATGATGGGATGAAAACGCAATGAAATGATGATGATGCTAGATCTCTGTCAGGCTACCGAAGAACTGAGGCCCCAAATCTTAGGGGCAGTGCTAGCTACTGAAAAGACCAGCTTGGGCCTAAATAGATAAATTGCACAAACATGTGTACGCTAATTAACAAATGCTGTTAACGACTGCGTCTGTCTTTCAAGCAGCTTGTCTCCTAAGGACCTCTCCATTGTAAAAGGAGGCATACCGACAGGGGTAAGGAAGACAGGCGGAAAGGTTCAAAGGGGGGAGAGCTACATGGGGCACAAAGCCAACTCGTTCAGGGGGATGAGAGGCAGGGGAGCCGCTCCCGGATCTGCAAGTGCCCGTGGACAGCAAGTCGGTGGGGCAAAGGGCCTCGCAGAGCTCCAGAGCTCCAGAGGAAAATTTTGGGGCCCCAGCCCTTAGCACCGCCTCTGCCTGGGCTACGGCCATCCTTGCGGCGAGAGCCCAATCCGCCCACCTGCCCTCCTCTTCCTCCCGCGCCTGCTATCCTCCCCCTTCCAAGGTTCCCAGTTCACAGCCCCCGACGCCGCACAGCGCTGCTCACCTCCCCAGCAGCAGGTCCAGCGGCTCCCCGAATCCCGCCTCGGCTTCCCTCGCAGAGCCGCAGCCGGGAGCGCTGGCCGGGGGGGAGGGGGAGAAGAGGATGTCACCTCGCCCCGCCCATTTCCCTCACCCTGGCCGCTGATTGGTCGGCAGCCCATAAACCGCTTATCCCTCTAATCCCACAGTCTACCTGCTCCGAAGGACCAGGATGGATGGTGTCGCTGGGCGGGGATGAGCATCCCGGCTCCGGCCCCTGATAGGCTGGGAAGGACAGCGGGGGGGGGGGGGCAAGACCCTCGTGATGCACCTGAGTGGCAGCCCTGGCCGTCCTTGAGCACCGCGCGGAGGTGAAAGCGAGACGGGGATTGGTCGAGGGGTATCGGGGGCGGGTCTCCCCTCCCCCCCCGTTTAAAGGTCGCCCGCGAGCGCCCTGGCAACGGGATTTCGTCGCGCGCGCCCCCGACCGCGCGCCCCTGCGCGCGTGACTCTTCTCCTTGCTCCCTCCCTTGCAGCCGCGTCAATGCCATTTATCCATAAGCTAATCTGGAGACGCAAACAAGCCTAAGAGGATGTGGGAACGCTGGGCGACAAGTTACAATAAGCGCTGCTGAGAGAGAGAGCTTTTTGTAAAAGCTCTTATGATGATGATAATGCGGAATAAAAATACTCTCAAAGCACAATGGCTGTGTGCATCTAGACAGAAAAAGCCTCTCCTTTGCAGCATGCCCCAGCCAGGGTCAAATGCAGCAGAGTTGCTGGGCCCCGCTGCCCCTTTAGTTAGCAAGTGCTCCCAGGCAGTGGGAGGGTGGGAAAGGAGGCCTCGCAGGGATGTGGCATTCAGAAGGAAAGAACCGGGGCTGCTGCCCTGTGAGCCGCTCCCGCCTCGGCCTCTGAGCCGCAGGGGCAAGGGTCGTGGGCCGTGGGCAGATGCGGTGCGCACTGTGCTCTAGAACCCCCTGTGAAGTGCTGAGGAACCAGACCTGCTTCTCAACAGGTGCGTGACCAGGGAGAGGGTACCGTGAAGGCACGAGGTCTTCATGCCGCCACAGTTGTGCATCCCATTTCATCCCCCCACCCCACCACTCACACTATGAGCTCTCTTGTGGTCAGTCCAGAGTTGCCCACTCAGCCAGACCACACTGACTCGTCTAGCCCAGGTCCAAGAGATTTGCAATCAGTCCCAGGGCTCTGTCGGCCCATCTGGATGCCGGCATTGCAGTGTGGGTGCCCTGGCTAAAATCTTCTCAGGGCCAAGCAGCTCCAGTGCACAAAGCTATTGATCAGTCAACTGTCCAGGAGCCTGAACAATCAGGGATCTCCTAGAATCCCTCTCAGATCTGGGGACAGGCCATTGCTGGATAGTCAAAAGGAAAAAGCCAGATATTCTTCTGGAGTTCCCTCCAGGTGGAGGTAGAAGGAACAGAGAAGATAAACTCCAGTGCAAAAGGAAGATTAAGGTCTTTCTCTTCTGGCACCGGTAGAGATTGCCCCAAGGTTTCTCCTGTACAGGTGCCCAGGTGTAATTTTTCCACAAACAAAGGGGAGAAGACCCAACAAGGCATCAGGAGAACATCAGCAGGACATAGTGGTTCTTCAAAGGACCAGGTAAGCAGCTTGCTCAGGACTGCAAGACTCCAGCTCAAATAGCACCCGCAGTGGCCAACTAGCTGTCTGTGGGAAACCCAGTACATGAAGATACCCTCTATATCCATAGGACTTTTCCCCTGTAGGATTGTGTCTGAAATCCCTGAGAATTTATCTTCCAGAGCAGCGAATTCCATAAATGATGTGTCCAGAATAGATATTTATTTATTTATTTATTTATTAAAACATTTTTATGCCGCCCCATTCGCCGAAGCCTTGGGGCGGCTTACAACACTAGATAAAACAATAAGTTAAAATATCCATATAAAATAATCATACTTTAAAACACACATTATAAAATAAGCCGCCTTGGCCAGATAAAATTCAATTGTGTTAGCATTTAAAATGTTGCTTAAATAAAAAGGTCTTTGCCTGGCACCGAAAAACAAATAATGTTTAGATAGCTACATTATTTTGTTTGTCCTGAATCCATCGGTCCTCAAATTCTGGGATACCGAGAGAAGAAAACTTTTACTTCTATGTACTTTATTTTATGCATAATTTTATGGCCATTCTTGACTCCTTGACTGATTTTTTTTCCTTAACTAAAAAGCCCAAATGCTCTGTCCTTATCTTACCCCATGGTGACTCTCTTTTTTTGCTCTCTTAGTTTGTGCCTGAAAAGCAGTAGGCCAAACAACATAAAAATGACAGAAATACACAAGCTGCTCTTCCAAAGGAGTAAAGTAAGGCCTAACCACTAGATGGCAGCACATTAGTCCTGGAACTTTAAATGACAGGGGTACCCTAGTCTGTATTGGTCATGCAACATAATCCATATAGATTATTATTTTTTTGGGTGATGCTTGTTCCCTTCGTGAAACAAGAAAGACTCCTTAATATTGACAAACTAAAAGGCTGGCTCTGAAAAGCTGCCCAACTGCAGAAGGATTATTAACTGCCCTACATCTACAAAATGATAGAATGCTATAAGGTTATGGCAAAGCTTTACTTGATGCCACTGACAAGTGAGGTTATCCTGGATATCAGACTTACGACTACCCTCTACAGAGCCTCCCCCAGCCTTGTGACCTCCAGATGTTTTGCCCCCTGCTCCAGCCAGCGTGGCTAATGAACAAGGATGACGGGGGCGATAATCTACCCTCTGGAAGGTACCCAGTTGGGAAAGGCTGGCGTATTACCATTATCCAATAGCAGCATAAGCTCCCTAACCCTAACCCTTTTCTGATAAATCACTGCCCCATTCCTCCCCTCCCCACCCTCAGCCCTATTTTTGCCCGTCACTGATGCCCAGTTAAATTTTGGTATGAGTTTTCAACGTAATCATTCTTCAGGGTTCAGTAGCCTTCCTGTATTTCTTGCAGGTTTCTGACAATGATTAGGTAAGTCTTTTGGCTAGAGCAGCTGGTCTCACTTCTGCAGGTCATGGAGCGAGGAGGAGGAGGAGGAAAAGGAAGACACAGCGAGACAGAGGGAGAAGGGATGGCAAAAAGAGAAAGGGGCTCCCTGTCCATCACTGGCCCCTGACAGACTACCTGCAAGGGAACGCAGCCGTCAACAGAAAAGTTGTAGGAAGCTGGTGTAAACGGAGTCAGACCAATGGCCTGTCTAGGCCAGTAGTGTCAACACCGATCGGCGGCGGCAGCTTTTCAGGATTCAGGGCAGGTTTCCTGTCAAGCCTTTCTTGGAGCTACCAAAGATGAACCCTGGAACATTCTGGTTGCAAAATAGGTGCTCTCTCTCCCCTATCCCCAGTGGTGGTCATGGTGGATGCATCTTGTCTCCAGTAACATCCATGCAGGAAAAAAAGGCATGCATTTGGATCTTCAGACAGCAAGCCAGTTCACACACAGCAAGTATATTCAGGCCCACTGCAAACCAGTCACAGGGCCCTGATTTTTTCCACTACACCTTTAAAGAGCAAAACATGCCTTGGCTTTTCCATCAGCAAAGGGCTTTTCCATCAGCGGATGGCAGACTGGTGCTAGGAAGTGGTCCTTGGCATGAGGACTAGGTCAGCTCTGGTTCTGTGGAAGGTCAGACAGTTTCCTGCTGAAACGGTTTAGGCAGCGGGTGAGGTTGCTTGCGTGGCCAAAGTGGCAATGTCCATTCCCGTTCCCAAGGAGGAAGGGTCTGGGGACTTGTGGAATTGCTGAGGTTTGCAGAAGTACAAAAAGGCTTTTAGGGGAAAACCCCATCAAGGTCAGCGCTAGGAGGGTTGCACGGGCTAGAAGAGCTTTGAGCTCAAGTAGACTGGTGCCTTGCCCCCTTTGCCCCCTCCATCACTGCCAGCTAGTCCCCAAGGACTCCTCTTACGCTGAATTTGTCACTCAAGCTGAAGAAGTTCGACACTTCTTATTTAAGATACCTTCCCTCTGCCATTAAGTACAGCACAATTCCCGTGGCAGTCGAGCCTGCCCTGGCAGGATTTTCACCACAATGATGGCAAGAGTGAGATGAGAGCAGCTTTGCTTAATTTGATGCTCTCCAGATGTTTGGGGCTCCTGACTATATTTTACGGTATATTTTAAGCTGTTTTAAATTCATTTTATCATTGTTTCTTTTATTATATTTTGTTGTTATGCATATTATGCATTGTATTGTTTTGCTTTATACATGTTGTAAATTGCTCAGTGAGCTTGGATATGGGCCAGTGCAAAAACAGAATCAGTCAATCAAATTGGCCCAGCTGGCTGGGGCAGATGGGAGTTGAAGTCTGGCAGGCTGAGTAAGCTGAAGAAAGCTAGGTTAGAGAAAATAGGGTCTTGCATCCATCCTGCTGGAGGGATCCCCTGGGCAGCTGGTTTGTCACCATGTGTACAGAATGGTGTAATAGATCCAGAGGTGTTCCGATCCAGAAAGGCTTTTCTTCTGTTCTTCTGTGCTAATAAAATCAAGGTTAAGTCTGGCCAGACTGGCTGGTGAGGAGGCTTGTCTTTCATTTGTCAGACTGCAGCCGTCTAGGACAGAGAAGGCAGCGGGTAGGTGTCCAGAAGTTTTGGACTTCAGCTCCCAGAGGTCACGGTGGCATGGCCAATGCTCAGGCACGCTCGGAGTTGTAGTCCAACACAGCTGAAGGGCACCAGGTGGCAAATGATCAAGACGACTCCAGCAAGAGTCCACGATAGGTCAGGGTTGTGTTAAAATATGAAAGATACCCCGGTCTTTTGGTGCAGATTTGGTGGGCTGGGATAGATAACTGCAACTTGGATGGCCAGGGCATTGCCCAACAGCACACCTGTGCTGTTGCGTGTGTCCCAGGTGTGGTGAACTGTGTCCCCATCCAGCCGGTTTTGCTTCTCCTCTCCTCTCATCCTTGCTATAAAGTGTGTGCCTGACAAGGAGAGAAAGAGAGAGAGAAACAGGCTCTTTGCGCTTTGCAACTGGCTTGACCTCTTGGCTCCTGGCGTCTCAGTCATCTTGCTTTGCTGCCCCTGGGCAAGACCTGACACTCTGATCTGAGAGGGACCAACCAGGCAAGCAGAGGGATCCGAAAACCAACTCGGAAGCGCTAGAGGTGTAGGAAAGGAAGCTGGGATGGAGTAACGCAGAGCAATGAGGGAAAAGGCAGAGTGCTGGTAAGCTGAGAAGTGTCTGGGAGAAAAAGGGAAACCACAAGAGAGACGAGACGGAGGGGTGCATATCACAAAGACATGAAGAGAACAGCCTTCTGACCCAGAGTAATTCTGGGATGCTGCAGTGGGAGTGAGCTTCCCTTCTTTCTTCCATCCCACCGCTTTAAATCTGCCTCGGCAAGGTCGCCAGATTCCACGGGCCTTGGGACAAATGGTAGGCCAGACCAGAAACGGAGGAAATCCGCGTCCCCTTTGTGTGTGCGCCCGTGTGTGTACACAGTGGCACATCCCTAAAATGCTAATAACAGAAGGCATTGCATCCACTAAGGCCAGGTTTATGAGGCAGTTAAGGGATCCCAGGGGTATCCTGAATCCAATGCAAAGCCAGCTGGTGCCCCGAAGTTGTGGCCTGCCATTTAGGTTAACTCTTGCAGCGCTGCTCTGACAGATGGCATGGAATCAAACTTCTGTTCCGAGCGGGGAATCACTGAGCCTGCTCAGATTTGTAAGCAGCTTCAAAAACAACCACACCATTTCCTCCCTCTCGGTCTGCTAGGAAATGATCGCAGCCCTTGGTAGGTGGTCAGGGAAAAGTGGACTCCAGCACCTTTTCATGGTCTCAAAGGACACCTTAGCAGGCATTGCTTGCATGTAACACCCCCTTATACATGGCTGGGAGTCCTTTTGCTCCTGGCCTCACTAGCCTTTGAGGTGGCCAGGTGTCCCTTACAGAGGACAGTTCTCTGTCTGACGAGCAGGCAGAGGACTGTTTTGATGGCATCCCCCTTTGAAAGGCCACCCGGTCTACACCCAATATAAAGATAACCATCAAAAGGCAGATCTGGGGCCTCCAGCTCGCCCATCAGTACCCAGGCAGTAGCTAGGTACACAGGTCGGCTGTCTGGTCCTCGCCACTGTGATGGGATGTAGAATGATTGTTTCTTTCGAAATCTGCAAGGGCATGTTGGTGCCCTCTTTTGGATAACAGCCACACTGCTAGCCTTTGGAGTTGCACTTGGTACATTTATCTTAATTAGAGCAATAGCAAAAATTAACGATACAAGAGTCTACCCCTCTTCGACATCTGCTTGCCAGCGACTGACACTCGTAATCTAACACTCTGTGGCTCAGCAGGGAAGGCTTGGGCTGGCAACAAGCAAGCACCGTGTTTGCTCTCTTCTCCCGAAAGCCACAACAAGCAAGACGCCTGACCCGCACCAGGACGCGCCTGCTTTCGGCAAGTGAGGAGCTCTGAGCTTAACGGGGCAACTTTGCTGCAGGTCCCACTTGCCACATTCTTTGGCAGATTGGCCTTGCTTCCCCCACTTTCCACCCAGGCAGGCGAAAAGGACTCGCCTCCACTTGAAATGCAGCAGCAGCAGCAAGAGTCATATTTCCCCAAAGGACGCTTTAGAAACCTTCCAGGAAATTCCCCTTCCTTGCATGTGCCAGACGTGTGGAACAACAACTCCCATTCTCCCCAGCTAGGATGCCCATTGGCCATGCTGGTGGGACGTATTTGGAGGGTGCCAGGTTGGACACCTTTGAGGAAAGGCTGCGTCCAAGGAGGCTGAGAGGTCAACCTGAGATTCTGTGGAGCTGCATCCAGTTTGGCTCTTTCTGCACTACAAATGCCAGCCAAAAGGTAGCTTGTTTGCATTGAGTGAGTCACAGAGATACAGCCTTCTCTGCATAAACACAATTGGCAAACAGAGGAAGCTAATCCCTTTGGAATGATCCTCTTACCTGATAGTGTGACTTGGCCCTTGCAGCCTATGAGGACAATTTCTGAGTGACCATGTACAAACCAGTGTGCGCACCATGTGGAAAGGGCAGGCAAAGGAACAGGTGGCGGCATGGAGACATTGAGGTGATCTTGCCCTGGGGCTCCCCAGTATTCAGTCCTGGTGCTGCTTTGCATTCTTAAATCTATTTCTTGAATTCATTGTATTCGGTTGCCTCTAGAATTGGCTATTTGCCCTGTCAATCTGTAATACTCTGTGTTACTGCTAATCAAACACTTTGGTTGTATGGGAGACAGAGAGACCAAATGCCTACAGCGCAGCAGGAAAATTATTAATGCTTGCATGATTGCTGGGAGTGGGAGCAGATGATCCCTTGCATGCGCAATTCCACGTATTCTAACAGGGAAATGTCTGAGGATCTGGATGTTGGGAGAAGTCCTTGCCCTGGCCCTAAGCCCCGCAGGCCCATTGTCCCTTTTATCTCTGCGTCCTAAAGCACTGCTTCTCCTCCCTTTGAAGAACTGCAGGTCTTGGTTAGCCCTCCTTCCGCACATGAGCACATGCCCCCTTCTTTCTCTCCTGCCAGAAGTTTGCACATCTCCCCGTTCTCTGTGGCTCCCACTTTCTTCCACAGCACTTGCTAATCCTGCCTCTGTCTCCGCATCACAGGCCTCTGCAGCCCTCAGCAACTCTTTGGCCTCGCAGCTTCTGCTTTCCCTTCCCAACGTTTTGCTCCCTCCTGCTTGCTCGTGCTGCCAGCAATGGAGCAGTGTGGAACTGGACTTCCCACCGCAGCGTATTTGGCTGCCGCTCACAACAGCAGTATAACTAAGGCGTCCTTCGACATCTGACAGTCTTAACATCATCTTAGTTGCTCCCACAATTAAAGCAGAAAGGACATCAGGAAGAATCGGGAATGCTAGGATATTACACATTTTGCATACCCCAGGGAGGATTTCCTAACTAGCTCAACAGCCGGTGTTGTGCAGGCATGCCGGGTTTTTTGCATTTTAGCACACTGGACACGAATCCCAAGCTGCAGAATGCAATGAATGGGGCCTGGTCTCTTTGGTCCAGTGGGGACACTGGAGCTTTGGGAAAGAGACAAGAGAGCAGTCTTCATGCCGTAACTGGGGCTGGCCATTCACAAAATGGTTGCTGCTTGGGACACAGAATACCCATTTAACAGAAGGGCAAAGTGGTGAGGTTGAGAGACAAGAAACTCGCCTGGGAAAGTGAATATAGGCCGAGGTTGGGTTTCGGCCTCAGGATACAAATCCATACCCTGAACCTGCAGCTTTTCCCTCCTTCAGGGAACATTTTTTGGTTGGGATGCATGAGAAAAATATTTTCAGCTCATTTGCTGTCTGCACTTCCAGAAGTCAAATGAGAACACACTATGTGGTCAAAGGTTGCACCTTTCTAATCTTGTGTTGCTGTCGGCAGAGCGAAAAAGTGCTTGATGACTGGGTATGTTTCATAAATGTGTGAAATGTACTTTAAAAAAAAGAGTGCACACAAACCCACTGTAACAGATGGGAGAACCCTGAGTACTTTTATACGCACATTGAGTCAGGTACCTGAACACCCAAAAGAAAGGAAAAACGTACACAAGTTGCAATCTTGCGCAGACTCAAGTTGAACATCAAGGTGGAAATTGGAGAATTGTGACAAAATCAAATTTTGCCAATTTCCCCGTCTCTCTTCCTAGCAGCCAAGCCCTCCAGCTCTGCAGGTCAGTCCCTGTTACGTGCCCAGCCCTGCCCCATGGCTCCCCCCAGGTCACTTTCCCCAGAAGCCCAGGTATTTGGCACTGCCACCTCAGCCTTAGAAGCTCATCCAGCAGCAGTTTTTTCTTTTCCCCGTTTAAAAAGAGAGTTTTTGAGTGTGGACAGAAAACAGAGCACCTGCTTCAAAAGATCCTCCAGAAAAATGTCTCTGGGGACTGGAGGCCCTGCAGGGAATGGGAATGGGGAGTGTTGGGCAGCCGGAAGTCATGGTTCTCTTTGCAGCATCTCAAAGACAAGGATAAAAGGATCCCTTTCGAAAATAAAAATTGAACACTGAGGCCTGGGGAGGGGTGTGGCCGAGAGCCTTTGCCGAACCACAGGAAGTCGGGGACAAGGGCGAGTGCAGCCATGACCTCTTCGGGGTGGCTTGCAGAACAGGGAAGCCCATGGGTTGAGCAGCCCGTGTGGTGCTGGGGACAGAGGGGAGAGAGTGGCTATGCTTCCTCTTACATGCCTCCCCTTCCACTTTTAATCAGCAACTCGACCTTTGCCCTTTATTTACTTGTTTATATGTGTATTTATAGACTGCCTACAACTGCTGAGGCCTTCCCAGGCAGCTTGTAGTGCATGGTGGAATCACTTGCATCAGGGCAGTGGAGGGCCTAACCGATCCAGCAGTGAAGCCGGCAACAAACGCTGGTGAATCCATGGGTTGTTTGTGGGGTGATGGCCTGGGCATTCTTCTGTTGCCACAGGGGAGGGCCTTAGTCACCAAAGACCGAGATGGTCACTAAGCCCGAGCCAGAGGGGTCAGAGCTCCATAGCAGGCAATGGGCCCAGCACGCGGAAGGTCTGATGGGCCTCAGTGTCTGCCTGAAATCTGGGGCTCACGGCTCCCCATCAGTATCAATCACACCCAGCTAGATGGAGTCATGATACAGGAGCAGCACCTGCAAGGGAACTGACAGGTTTCCAGGACCAGGAGATGAGGGGTTCTTCCAGACAAAGGCCTTCTGGTGCTACTAAACCTTCTGTGCAGCTATTCCGTCTGTTTCTTCTTCCTAGATTTCCTGCAGTAAATGGAAGAAAACACAGGAAGGTTACAAGTGGAAGATACAGCACTTCTAAAACTATAAAGTGAAACAGATGGAAATCTGCTTGAACAACCAGTCCTTTTTTTCAGGGGATAGTATGTGTGGGGGCTTAATTTTGATATAGCTAGTGATGACAGAAGGAAATGCACTCTGCACATGCTTGAAGACTCTTTCCTTTAAGTCCAGCACTTATCTCTGAGCATTGACAAGAGCTCAGGGTGAAGAAGAATCCTTCCCAGTGAGAACTGGTTCAAGGAAAGACCAACTTAAATTGGATTAATCAAGAATGTGGTTTTGGCCCAGTATTAGGCTGCGATCCTGCAGAAGTAACCCCCATTACATTCAGTGAGGTGCTTATGGATCCTCCTCATGCATAGCCTCATTCCTGAGGAAACAGGCTTAGGATTGGGCTGCACCATTCCGCCCACTGCATACACTTACCTAAGCATTTCGTTGCACTGGACTTGGTACGGTTTACTCCTGAGCAAGCACTCAGGACTGTTACTCCCAAAGGGGTGTGAACTACCACAAGAGTCAACGCAGTTCTGGAAGGGAAGTGGGGCAGCCTGAATGAATAAATGATCTTACAGTAAGTAATTAGAGTTGTCGGTCCTGGTGGAGGTAGCAATGATGTTGATGCGTTGTTTGGTCAGTGATGTTCAGTCATAACTGTTGTTGTGTTGATTGTATTGCTTTTCTTAGTTGTAAAAATAAATTTAAAAAGCGTTTAAAGAAATAGAAAAGGACAGTTACTCCCAAGTAACGCACACATCAGTTCAGGCCACCCGCCTTTATTTACTTACGAGTAAGTGCCGTTCAACAACATGAACAGGGCTGTCCTATTGAAGTCCCCATCCAAACGCAGTTACTCCACTTACTCCCGCGTAAGCACGTTTCAGATCGGATGGCAATGCAATCCTGACCGTGCAAAAATTCTTTAGAGCACTATCCTATGCACGTTTATACAAAAGAGTCCGACAAGTCACAGCATTCCCAGTCACTGGAGGGGGTTTTTCCCCACCCCAAACACACATCGCATTACTTAATTGCTGAGAAGGAAGCAACACCCAGTAGCTTCCTGAAGCGCGAGTAAACACCTAAAGGATCGCGGCATTTGCAAAGCTGAGGACGTGCGATTGCTTCATTGCCCACCCCGGCCGGAAGCCCCGTCCGACGAGGCCCGGAGAGGGGCCTTTACTCTCGAGTAATCACGTGCGCCAGCCAGCCCGGAGAGGACGCCCCGCTGGGACGCCGCGCGCTCCTCGCCCCTCCAGCGCGCGCGCCCCGCCCGCCCGGGGACAGGCCCCGCGCGCGCCCGCCTCCTCCCCTCCCCTCCCCCGGCGCGCGCGCCGCGCACGCCCGCGCGCGCGCCGCGGCTGTTCCTCCAGCGTACCTCGCCTCCCCTCCCCTCCCCCGGCGCCTGCCCCCTTTCCCTCCCTCCACCGCCTTCTCCTCCTCGCCCTCTCGGAAGAGGCTGTTCCCACACCCCTCCCCCGCTCGCGGCTCCTCCCCGCGCGGCTGTTCCGCTGCCAGCGGCCTCTCCGCCCGCCGCGGCGCTCCGGACCCAAGATGGCCGCCGTGTCAGTTTGGGTCTTCGCCGCCGTCCAGCTCCTGGCTCCTGGGCTCCGCCTCTCGTAGGCCCCGGTAAGCGCCGGCCGCGGCCGCGTCGCCTCCCTCGGCCCGGGTGGAGGGGGGAAGGCCGCGGGGCGCGCGCGGAGCGGCGGCGGGGCGGCTCCGAGCCGGCGGCGGGGGGGAGAAGGGCCCTGCGCGGGCTTCTCGCGTCAGGCCCCGCGGCCTGTTCCGGCCCGGCCGACGCGGCTCCTGCGCCAGGCCCCGC